TAGTAGTCATAATTGTAACCCATTCCTCCATTCCCTACTAACCAGAGGTAAGACAAGGACAGCTTTCGTCTCCTCACGGAAATCCTGAGAAAGCTCCTCCGTAGGGCCCTAAAGCCCTGAACGCTATTTCCCACAGCCATGAGCCGGACAGCCCGAGCCCTGAATTCTATATAGGTGGTTGTGGTTGTCAAAATTTAGAGTAGGGTTTTGGAGCGTACTGATACTATATTGGTACATGTATTCTATATGATCTTGAGTCATATGGGTGGTTGTCAAAATCATGGTCCTTTTTTGGGGTCCCTACTATTACAATACGGTACCTAGTATTGAGGGATTTAGGGTACCCAAAAAGGGACCCTAATTTTGACAACCACCCATATAGTAAACCCCAAAAAGTTGGAAACCGGATCAAGGCCAAATAGTGCTGGGATCCCTATGCATTACTCTTAGGGATTGAAGCTATTGGGTTTCCAACTTTTGGGCTTCTACTGTACCTGGGTGTAGGGTGTGTAGCTGGTAGCCCCCTAACCGTAAGTGCATCCTTTTTCCTCCCAAAGAGAGGCAAACGAGTACTATATACTGGGAGAGCCCGAAAGCTGCACATGCCCAGTTAAGACAGAGCAGCCAGAACCTAGATACCCCAAAATCCTCTGCCCCCGAAGCCCTATAAACTTTGTCCCGGAGCGCTTCAGGAAGCCCCAAGCTATAGCAAATAGTAGGATCCTTATTTGGAGGACCCCAGAAGAAGGTACTCCCATACTTCTTGCGTTCCAGAGGCTGGCCATGACCTCAGCAGGCAGGAGCCAGGACCTAAACCCCAAGGGTTAAGGGCTTAGGGTCCAGACCCTCCCAGGGTTATAGAGTTTAGGGCTCGTCAGCTCAAACCCTACAAAACGCCAAACCTTGAACCCTTGGTTGAGGGCCGTTTTTTTTTTGAAGATCCTCGCAGCCCTAAGGCACGAATGCATACGGCTGCAAGACGGAAGGTCTTGGGGGTTTAGGTTGCTTTATGGTATGCTTGAAGGCCTGGGGGGGGGTGGGGGGGGGCAGGGGATCCGAAACCGTGCTAAGGATGAAATTTTGTAGTATCGAGCGTTAGAAGCGAGATTCCTCGCCGCCGCTGAGTGCCAGGCGGAAAAGAGATAAGGGCTAAAGGCAAAAGGGCTTGAGAGCTTAATGCTGTGGAGAAAGAGAAGGTTTGTCGGGTGCGACTGTGCAACGTGAGTCAGGTCGATGGCCAGCAGCAGCAGCAGCAGCAGCAGCAGCAGCAGCAGCAGCGGCAGCGGCTACGGCCACAACAACTACAACTTCCAGTTCGCCGACGACGACGACTACTCCACCACAGCTACCACCACCGACACCGACACCACCACCATTACCACAACCAACGCAACCACAACAGTCACAACGACGAAGTCATTACATGCGATTGACACCATATAACTACATACACGACGCTGCACAAACTGTCGAGGTAGATAGCAGCAAGACTGGCACTAGTTGTCATAGTCGCAACAAGAATCATACCAGCAATAACAGGCATCATCATGATGGTTATGTGCCTGATAGGATCTGATTGGAGCATTTGTAACAGTTCAGGGAACGGTACCAATACTTACTAGCAGGAGCAAGACTTAAGAACCAACAATACGGGTGACCCTAACAACAATTTCAACAGCAGCCGTTCTGTAAATCCTATGTCACATAGGAAGACTGCTGCAAAATGCGCTTGCAATTCTTAATCCTTCCGACTTCTTCTGCGTACAGGATCCTGAATAAAGTATACCAAACATAGGAACTACAATGCAGACTGTAGGCAGGCCCGAAGCCCGTGAGCACCTTCTTTTTTACATATCTGGCGGGTCTGGAGAATGCAGGCTTAAATGGACGGCACCTCAACCGGCAGAAGAAGAAGCGGCTTCAGCAGAAGGGTGTAATGTAGGGGCCGTAATAATTAGAATAGGGTTTTGGGGCCCATGATACTATAGTTATATAAGGAACCCCTTACAGTAGTATAGGTAATTATTTAGGCCCCTATAGTAAGGCTGAGTGTTCCGGCGTAAGGGTTGAGAATGGCTGAGACTATACCCCAACCTCGAGACCCACACTTAGGGCCCCAAGTGCGCCACCTTCCAGCATGAGGGGTCCCATAATGGATCTATGATATGGGGGCCTTAATAGTTAGAATGGGGTGTCGGGGGGCCCATTGTACTACAATAGTTATAATCCGGAGCCCCGAAACTAGCATACAGTTAAGGCTAGAGGCTTTACCTGGGTCGCTGAGGAGAGTACGAAGGAAAACAATGCCAACAAACCCAACACCTAGAGGACTACAATCAAGCAAGGGGGTGTCCCCAAACCTTCTAGGACGTAAACTACAAGTAGCAGAGTCAAGGACATGCTTCAACAGAAAGTTCTTGTTCTGTAACTGCTTAGTGCTCGAAGCAGACTCAGCGCAACAGAAGTAGTGAGAGTGGTGACAGGAATAGCAACAGACGTAACAGTAGCAGTAGGTACAGTAGCAGTAGGCTGCAGCAGCAGCTGCAGGGATAGCAGTAGCAGTTGCAGCAGCAGCAGCAGCAGCAGGAGTAGGAAGAAGTCGTAGTAGAAGAAGAAGTAGTATTAGTATTAGCAGTAACTAGTAGTAGTAGTAGTAGTAGTAGTAGTAGTAGTAGTAGTAGCAGCAGCAGTAGTAGTAGCAGTAGCAGCAGTAGTAGTAGTAGTAGTAGCAGCAGTAGTAGCAGTAGTAGTGCCAGTAATGGTGCTTGCGCTGGTGCTAGAGTGCTCGTTGTAATTGCAGTGGTGGTGGTGGTGGTGGTGGTGGTGGTGGTGGTGGTGGTGGTGGTGGTGGTGGTGGTGGTGGTGGTGGTGGTGGTGGTGGTGGTGGTGGGGGGGGTGGTGGTGGGGGTGGCGGTGGCGGCGGCGGCGGTGGTGGTGGTGGTTGCAAGGCGCACCGGTAGTGTTTGCTGCTGACGATGTTGTAAGTGTTGCAGTTGCTTGGGGACGGCTACTGCAAACAACGAACCTGATATCAAACCCACATCCTGCATAAAACTTGTAGCATGACGATTTGCAGGTGTAAAGCAGTCCGAAAACAGCTGTGAAAGCAGGTTCGCCCCTTGGTGCTCTATTTGAAATGAAAGGGTCTTGAGAAGGGTACTTCTATGATTCCGCGTGTGGGTTCTTCCGGTCGAGGCTTGCGAAACAACTGGCAGGATCCGGGTACACTGAGCCCTAAATCAAAATCCTAAACTCTGAACTCTATATACATTTTGAAGCTCTACACCGCACAAGTCCAAGCTGGACTGGGGCTAAAAGACGGGTACCCTGGTCACAATGTCAGATGCGTGTGATCTGTGTGCGGCTGTGCCGGGGCTTAAAGAACCGGCCGGCACCTGAAGAAACGTGTGGCAACACGGGCAGTACCAAGCCAATCGTTGGACCGTCAGACCACTCCCGTGCTGTTCCCGAAGGAGTACACAGAGAGAAGTCTGGCATATAATTAAAAGTTCCAGCGCTTTGAAAGTGCGAAAATGCTCTCAAGTCGATAAAGCCTGACGCGGGCTTTGGGTTTAGGGTAGGATCACCTAACACACTTGCCGTCATGTTTCGTGGTTTCAATAAAGGTCCTTCTTGCGATAACAGCCCTGGTCGCTATACGAACCCTGCAGTTCCGACAACGTCGAGTCTGCGCAAAGACACGCCCGCACACACACACACACACACAAACAAACACACACACACACACACACACACACCACACACGTGCACACGGCAGGCGAACGGCAGGCGAACAAATGCGAACCTAGCAAAAGCCTTCGATAAGAACCCCCTGGGCCCTTCAGGGTGGTAGGAGGAATCACCAACGGAAAGAACACAAGAGCTCTGAGCATCTTCGGGTGCTCCTAGGTCCTGAAACCATCCAGGATTTTCTGGGCTTGGTGCAGTATTGATGCTGCTGCAGTATACTTTAAACTTCAAATCGGATATTGAACCTGAGAGCCCCAAAATCGTCCCTGCAAGTGGTAGGATCTTTTCAAAGGACTCTTAAACTGCGGACTCTTAAGTTTGCAAACCGGCGCAGCTAACCCTGCTAAACACTGTACCCTAAACGTTTAACCCCAAAAATCAGGCTGCCGGGAGCCTGCCCTTAGCCTCAGAGGGATTCTTGGGAATCCCATGAAATCTAAGGCCCTTAGGGCTTAGCGCTTCGGGTTGGAGTTGGGTTTAATGTCAGGTTTCGAGTCTTGGTTCTTGAGCCACCATTGGCATCATAATCATCATGATCATCACCATCACCATCATCATCGTCAGCGGCATCATCATCATAACCAGCATCCTCCTCCTAACCATGACCATCGTGACCATCATCGTTGCCATCAAAGCCAAGCTCTCAATCAGGCTGTCTTTGTTCATACTGCCTGTTCTGATCCAAACAATGGCTGTTTCTTCCTCAACGCCAACGTCACCGTTATCGTTATGAGACTGAGACTGTTCGGCAAGAGGTTGCTGTCACTGATGACAGTGCTGACGATGGTGCTGGTGATGAAGACGAAGATGATGATGGTGGTGGTGGTGGTGGTGATGACTCTGTGATGGCGATGATGACGACGATGATGATGATGAGGAGGAGACGATGGTGGCGGTGATAGTGACGATGATGGTGGCGATGGTAAGGAAGGTGTCGGTCATCATCTTTAATCACCACGACAGTGATAACCAGCATCATACGATCGTCATCATCGTCGTCGTCATCACCTCCTGCCCTGACCCGCAGAACAAACGGCTCACCATTAGTTCCCAAAGAAGCCACATGGGTGGTTGTCAAAATTAGGGTCCCTTTTTGGGTACCCTAAATCATAGGTGCCGTATTGTTAGTTTAAGGATCCAACAAGGGACCCTAAACCCTAAACCCTAAACCCTAATTTTGATCACCACCCACATGTTCCGGAATCCGCCCTCGCACAACCTCTGATCTCCTGAGGCCGCCACCCCGCCGGCTACGCCTTTGCCCTGCCAGAGGGGTTTGAGGGTTTAGGGTTTAGGGTTTAGGTTGGGGCTTCGAGTGTAAGGGTGAGGGTGTTGGGGCTTAGAGTTTAGGTTTAGCAATAAACATAGATAAAGAAGGTCTTCAGGCTTCGGGGTAGGTGGCCCTCTTGCGGACTTCGCAACCCGAAACCCTGGCTCCAGTAGTAGGGCTCTTTTTGAAAACATGGTAGAAAGCTGCCCGTAGTTCTAAACGACGCCACACTTCCTACCCAGAGATTCCAATATCCCGCAATTAGGGAACATACCTTAAATTATAGTAGGATCCCTAATATGAGCTAAGGTATCCCGAAATTATTGGAGTCTCTGGGTATGTCATATCAGAGCAACCCTGAAAACTGAGCCCTAACGGGTATGCGATTTAGGGTTCTAGGTCTCGCGGCTTTGGAGGATGCAGGCCCTATAAGGTGTGGAAAAGGCTGCGGGATCTAGATGTTAGGCTTTGCGGGTTTTGCTGGTCCAGGGTGCTGGTTGCTTGTTTGCTTCTGGTCTGCGGCCTTTCCAATGCATGGAACCCAAATTTACACCGAACCTGACGAGGAAACTGTACACATGTAGTCCAAAGATCCTAAATACTAAAGTCTCCAGTCCATGCCCCTAAATGGCAGCTGCCGAATCGTGCAAGAATCCTTGTACCCCATAGATACCCTTGCAGCACCCCAAGCTCCTGAACTCTACTCCTCAAACCGATTAACCCGAAACCACACCCTAAACCCTGAAACCCCTGAACCCCCTAAGCCCGAACCCCTAAACCCTCAACCGCTAAACCCACACCCACGAACAGCATCTAGGTCTCAGGTAAAACCCAGATCCTGGGACCCTTCTTGTGAAGACCCTACGCCCTCGAAAGGAAGCCACCAAACCTCAGGGTCTGGGAGTTTTGATCAGTCCCAAGTGCACCAACATGGGGGGTTTGGGCTTCAAACGGGCTGTAGTACACCATAAGTAGGTACGGACTCGATGTGGATCATTGCAAGTTTCCTGCACCGTATACTAAACCCAGAGAGCCCAACACCCCTGAATTAAGGAACATGGCTTAAACTATATGGGGGATCATATTTTGATTTAAGCCACATTCCTTAATTAAGGGGTATTGGGCTCTCTGGGAACCCCGAACCTCAAATTCGAGCTGGCTCTAGGCACTTCGGCCTAGCATTGGGGCTCTTTCCCAGCCATCGCACGCGGCCGCTGTCCAGATCATAGATGCCTCTCCCAAGATTTCAGACTTGTGGTTCTTTGTTTTTGTGAACCCTCTTTTCCGCCTGCCCTGAGGTTCGAATGCATGCTACGACTGAGGGAACAATTCGGGAGGCTCGAAGGGATCCCCACACCACACCACAATACCTAGGGTTAAGCCCTAAATCCTAAACCCCGCAAACAACAAAAACCCTAAACCACAGGGTTGAAACAGGCGTAATGGTTTAGAAGTTTAGGACTTGGGGTGTAGTATTGGGTCTTAATCTTACGCACTAAGCCCTAAACCCTAAACCCTAAACCTACCCAAGCAGCGTCTAGGCCGTCGAGGCTCCAAGCCAAAGACGCTCTGACTCCAGGCTGTCACCAAATCCAAGCCCCAAGCCAGATCTCAAACCCTTGTAATTCTGAAGCCTAAACCCAAATCCTAAACAGTGAATCCACGGGTAAAAGGACGGACCCTTAATAAGGACCCCTAGGTATATACCCTGAATATAGCTCTTATATACCCATTATATAGCCCCATTATAGGGTAGGGGGCCCCATTAAGGGTCCCTCCTTTTCCCTAAACAGTCAAAAAGGTCCCGACTCTGAACCAATGCACCCTAAACCCTAAACCCTAAACCCTAAACCCAAAAGGCCCCAAACCTAAACTCAACCCAATGCACCAGGCCCACTCAAATCCGAAATTTTCTGTCACCCACGGCCTCCTTCGATTTCGACCTCGCCGGACTCAACCTGCACCAAAGGAGGGATTAAAGATTAGGGTTTAGGGATTAGGGGTTAGGGTTCAGGGTTTAGGGTTGAGGGTGCTGAAGGAGCGAGTTCTGACGTAGAAGGTTTCTTAGAAAAGTCTATAAGATTTTTGGTTGAGCTCCTTTTTCTCCGATGCCCAGAAGGTCTACAAGTTTAGGGTTTAGGGAGTTTAGGGTTTAGGGCGGAGATTGTGCCCGCGGTTTGCACACCCTTTCGACAGGGGTTATAGAACCTATCGCTGTGCTTTCTGGCATTGCTTTGCTGCCAATCGCCGAACACACCTGTCTGCTTCTCACAGGAGAGCACCCTAAACCCTAAACCGTAGCCCTAGAGCGTGGGTCCCGAAGTTCAAGGCTCTTGGCTCACGGAGCTAGTTGCGAGCAAGCGCCACTTGGAGGCTCATGGGTAAGTGAGGTTATATGTCCCCTAATATGGGCTATAAGTATAGTTACCCTGCTTATAACCCTACTTTATAACTACCCATGAACCTCCAAGCAGGACGTGCTGAGGATCCCAGGGTTTCGTTTCGGTAGGGAGCTAGTCACCTGGTCATGGCGATGCGTTTCTCTACCTGGTGCATTGTACCTGCAGCGTGTCGGGATAACGGCTTCTTCTTGGGGGCACCGGCCACTGCCCCAACAGGGTCTAAACCACGAATCATGCAAGACCCAACAATCCGCTGCAGGGTGCGGTAGCCCCAAGCACGAACACAGAGAAATAAAGTTCATGATGCGCCCGTAGAAACAAAGATGTGCGGGAAATGAAGAACAACCGACAACAAGCACGCTATCAACGGCAATCATCACAATGAAACTGGGAATTGCAAGATGGTGACAGAGAGCTGTCTTGCTCGACAGCATTCATAAGGATCATGGTCTTCACAACCGAACTAGTTGGTTCCCCCAACCAGCAACAAAGCAAAGAAACAGGAATCCTAACCCCTAAACCCTAAAACCTCCTAACTCCTAAACCCTCTAACCCCAACCCTAAACCCAATCGACCCTAAACCCCCTAACGCCTAAACCCCTATTGTAATTAGGGCCCCAAAAAGACACATAAGCAAAAGTTAGGATAGGGATATCCCATACAAACCACCTGATAAAGAAGCCTGGTAAGGTAGGGATATCCCCATAAAATGCTTATGCTTATGTGCTTTTTGGGCCCCTAAGTAAACCCTAAACCCTAAACCCCTAAACCCCGAAACCCCTAAACCCCTAAACCCTTAAACCCCTAAACCCCTCAACCCTAAACCCCTAAACTTGCCCTAAACCCTAATCCCTAATCCCTAAACCCCTAAACCCCCAACTGCACGGAGGCCTTGCTCCTCAGAGCCGGGCTGTTTTTCACGAGGTAGTCGATGGAGTTGAAGACGTTTACCTTCACCTTCGAAGGGCGGGGGGCTTGAAAGGGGGGGGCCTTCGGTTTAGGGTTTAGGCTTGAGGCTTTGGGTTTAGGGCTTGAGGGCTTTAGGGCCTTAGGGTGGTGATGGAGTTGAAGACGTTGAAATTCACCTTTGAGACTTTTTTGGTGGAGTTTTGCTTTTCGGGCTTAGGGTTTTGGGGTTTCAGGGCCTAGGGTCTAGGGTTTAAGGATTTAACCTAGGGGGTCGCCGACCCATAGCCCTAAAGCCTAAAGCCGAAAACCCAACATTAAGGCCGCCATAAATCGTAGACACCCGGGTATATCTTCAGCTCAGTGGCAGCATGCACTGCGATCTCCTCCTCTTTCGGGGAGCCGCCCAACTCCTGCTCCGCCTGGATGCTGAGGGCATTGTGTGGGCTTTAGGGTTTCAGGCTTAGGGTTTAGGGTTTGGGTTTAGGGTTTGGGGTGAGGGATGGTTTAGGGTCCAGGGTTTAGGATTTAGGGTTGCCACCCCATAAACACTAAATCCCATAACCCCTAAACAAACCTCAACTGCCCAAACCGCATTGGATCTCTAAAGCCCAGTTCATCAGCACTGCTACCACACGCTGAAGACCTCTCTACTTGGAGGTTCATGAGCAGTCATAAGTAGGGTTTTCAGTAGGGTAACTACCCAAAGGCCCCAAAGTAGTTCCTTTTTGGGGCTCGTATATAGAATCCTATAAAGTAATCCCAAAAAGGAATTACTTTGGGGCCTATGGGTATGCTTGTAACCCATATTAAGGGATTTATGGCCCCACTTATACTAGCCTTGAACCTCCAAGTACTCTCGCCCAATCTGTAGATCCATAGTCACACTGCGCACAGGGACAGAAGGTAAGAAACTTGCGCCCCATACCCAAAGAAACAAGTTACTATTTACTGCTCACCGCAGCGTGCCCGAAACACGCTTGGAGGATCATGGGACTTAGTAAGTAAGGTTATAAGTACCTTAATTGGGTTATAAGTAATTATAATTATAAGTATACTTACCATAAACCGAGTTATACTAGTCCCACGATCCTTTAAGTGCCCACCCCTCTCATCAAGGGCTGAGTCAGGCTCTGGGGCTTTGGGTGTAGGATGCAGGCAGTCAGGGAAGCCCTTCACATTTGGTAGGACGCAGACGCCTGCTGTAATCACCCGAATAAGAAGAGAGCATGTATTGATCAAGGAAAAAACCTGACTCCCTAAACCCTAAACCCTCAACCCTAAACCCTAAACCCCTAAACCCTAAGTAACCACTCAACCATGCAGCTTCCACATGCACAAAAGTGCCCTAAGCTGGCCTTTTGGGCCACAGCGTTCAATCCCTGGAGGAGTGCACCGAGGGCGTTCGGGGCCTGGCAAACGAAAGGGCTCAAATTGATGGCGTTAGGATTCGGAATTTAAGGGGTTCAGGGTTTAGCAAGGTTTAAGTTTAGGCGTCTTCGCATTTGCCGTTCAGGGGCGCAACGCTTCGCCGCTTCGCCTGATGGGACTTTTCCTGAATACGGAGTCATGTGGTGTAGCACTTCAATGGGGATGCTTCAGAGAAGAGCAGAAGGGACTCTCGGCTCCCTAATACATGAACCTTACTAACTAAGACCAAGCAAAGGTTTCGGGAATCAGATGATGAACCCTAAGGAATAGTATGGTACGTGGTATAACACCCTGAACACACCCTAAATCCTGAAACCCTCAGCCCGAAACCCTAAACAGAAATACCTGAACACTATCTCGTTGCTGAGCTCCCCAGCCGAACTCACCTCAAATAGCATCTGCGTTTGGAGTTTACTTAGGGCTTCTAGGGTTTATAAGATTTTAGGGTTCGGGGCCTAGGCCTTATGGGGTTGCAGATTTTGGGTTCAAGGTAGGGATATATGAAACCTCGCGCCCAAGACGAAACAACCCAACAACAACCTAAAACATGGATGTAGTCTTAAGCCACGAACCGCGGTCTGTAAACGTTAGACCGTAAAATCCTGAACCCTAGGTCCACCCGAGCACTCTGGCTCATCAATGTCATCGTCATTTCCGCCATCCATCCCTCTATGCATGCATGCATGCATGCATAAAGATACCACATAAACATAGACATGTATGCATACATAAATACAGACCGACTCACCCGCGTACCTACGTACCTGAGTTACGTACCTGCATACCTACCTACATGTATACATGCATACACATACACATAGACATGTATGCATACATAAATACAGACCGACTCACCCGCGTACCTACGTACCTGCATACCTACCTACATGTATACATGCATACACAAGCAGACACACACGTACTATAATATATATATATATATATATATATATATATGTATGGGTATAAACACATAAACATGAGTACAGGCATACATGTATATATATATATATATACACATATACATGTATGTATATATAAATACACATATGCATATGATATATATATATATATATGTATATATATATATATATATATATATATATACTCTCTTCTCCAATAACCAGGCCCAAAAAAAGTTCAAACTTTTGAAGACAGGCCAAGTATGTACAGCCAAAAAGTTTAAAGTTCTCCAATTGGCTAAGTAAGTATATCTGTATGTGCACAGGTGCGCACACACACACACACATACTCATATGTGTGTGTAAGTACACACATACACACATGCATGCATGACAGATCCATTCATGCATTCATCCGTCCATCCATCCATGCATGCCTTAACTTACGTACATTCATGCATGCTTATTTTAGACTGACCCGGGTACGTTTAGACGTATGGATATACATTGAAACATGTATGTGAGCACGCGCACATACATATATGTATCCACGGATACACTGCGTATACACACGCATTCAGGTTTCGCTTTCAAGCTTTCTATGAACTCAGCTAGCAGTCCAGCCATCCATGTTCCCGCCACACGATGGACTCAGCAACATCACGGTGATCTTCACGATACAGGCTCTGCTTGGGATCAACATGCTACGACGATGGTGAAGACTCGGCGATGACGATAGATGCATGGATGGAAGGAGGGAGGGAGGAAGGTATAGGAATGTGTATGGAACTGTGTGTGTAGGTATACACACAAGCATACATATAGACACGTGTGCAGGTGTATCTGAGTATGAGCGCATGCATGCATGCATGCTTGCCCATGCGTGCTGCTTGAGTTTATATGTTCGTCCGTTCGCGCAAGCATGTCTTTGCATGCAGCAAGAAGATATCACAAGCAGATGGCGGGAGGCACCCACCCAGAGGGCAAGCAACATCTTTGCCCACTACACAGTTTTCAATCCTTCTCAATCCCTCATGCCCCCCGCAGCCTCGTCCCTGGACTTGCCCTTGTTGGCCATGTAGTCCTGCAGCTTAGGGTCGAGGACTTCAGATTCGGGGGAAGGGTGAGGTCGAGGAATGCAGAAGCCTGTCGCGAAAGCAACACTGCCAGCTCACGGAGTCTGCCCTAAACCCGAAACCCTAAACCCTAAAGCCTTAAACCCTAAAACCCTAAACTCTAAACCCTAAAACCCTAAACCCTAAAACCATCTAAAACTAAAACCCTAAACCCGAAAACCCCAAACCCTAAACCCTATAAGCCCTAAAGCTCCAAACAACTCTGCCCTGTGCAAACATCCCAGCAACTACATCCGTGGAGCGCGCGAAGACCAAAAACAGGGCTCTACCTTTGTGCAGATCCGCTCCCCCAGTCTCGTAAGCTTTCAAAGCCATCGTTTGAATTGCCAAAACCCCTTAAGCTAAAACCCGAAACCGTAAACCCAAAAAACAACTATTCCAAACCTTGACCCGAATTCCCCGAGCGTTGAGGGCTGACGTCTGAAGAATCACACGAGCGAATCTTGAAAAACTTCAGAAGTAGTTTAGGAGTTATATATATATATATATATACATGTATATGTATATGTTCATATTTACTTGTGTATATTTATATTTTTATGGTTTAGTGACTCCCCTGCAAACTTGGTCTTAACCACGGGCCGCACTCCTGAACTCTGCCTGCAATCGTGCAAAAGGTTTCCTGCGAATTTTATACCTTTTACAGAAAGTGGTTCAGTTTGCCCTGAACCCTAAACCCTAAACTTCTCGGGTAAGTCCCAAGAACCCGCCAGATCAGGTCCTTCGTTGCGCCGTTAATCGCACCGCACTTGGTGTGCCCCAGCACCTCTGCGCACTTTGGGGCTCTGGGGGGCTCTGGATTTAGGGTTCAGGGTTTAGGGTTTAGGGTTTAGGGTTTAGATTTAGGGTTCAGGGTTTAGGCTTGCTGCGACACCCTTCGCCAAACCTGTCCGCCACCATTCTGCGCTTGCTCTTGGCTCATGTCTCATCATGACGTCTCGCATGATTGGTTGCGGACCATGGCGGTCCATGTGTGCTCGCTGTACTGAGCAAGGACAGTAATCGTAAAGGCCTTCTTTATGCGAAGTGAAGAAGAACAAAAGTGATTGACAACATAAGACAAGAGGTGGCTGCAAATCTCAGCAATCCTTGAACCCCAACCCCGGAGAACACAATATCCCCTTAACTTTGGGCCCCAGATTAACCAGGAGACTTCCGGAGCCTTGCCATAGCTTACCTGAGGCTACCAATCATAACCTTCGTTTTGGCAATGTTTCATCATAAACCCTCCTATAGAATCTATAGTTACAGGCACCCTGCCAAAGAAATAGCTTTTGGTCGTTGAAGGTCTCGTCGAGGTCAGGAATACACCCTACTTGTAATTATCGAAGAAGTCTTGGCTGGAATGCCGTGAGTCCCAAACCCGAAACAACCCCTAAAACCCGGAAACGAATCGAGACGGCGCCAAAAAATTCTACAAGACCCGATCAAACAAAAGCAGAACACAACAGCCCTGTAACCTAGGGTAGAAGGTTTACGGGGTTCATGACTCGAAGCCCGAAACCCTGAATAAAACAAATTGCAAACCCAGCCAGAGGGGCGAGAATGAGCTTGGTACCAAGAGCACCAGTGCAAAACCTCAGCGGGAAGGTCGGTATTCTGCAACTTGTACCGTCTTCGGAATTACCTACCCTAAGGGTCCAAAGGATCCAATAATTAGGTACTCGGTTGTAGGATAGTAGTTATGTAAGTTAGGACTTTGAAGATTATATTATATGATTATTAGGTACTTGGACTCCGGGGGCTATAGTCTCCACAGTGGTTCCCTTTTTGGCTGTACCTTATAATTTGCATCCCGAAAAATGAGCTACCATGGAGACGACAGGTAGGATTTTGGGATGAAGAGCTTCTGCTAAACACAAATGCTCGTGCGTTCCTTGACGGCTCGGCACAGACTCACGCGAGATCATACCAAGTGAAACTAGTCGTCAACAAATCAAGCTACTCCTTTCCCTAAGGCTCCAGTTGCCTAAGCAATGGGTTACTTGCCGAGCTCTACCCGACACAACATCGAAGAGTTCAACCACAAACCAAAACTAAACGAAGTGTACGGATGAAGTAAGCTATAACTGCCAAAACCGCCTTTTCAAATGCCAGTCTGTTCCCAGGTCATGGCTTCCCTGTGGGAGCTCCGACAACTAGCGAACCCGAAAAAAGACCCCAAGTCGTATCTGTAGTCTCTGTTTAGGGTTTAGGGTTTAGGGTTAAACCCTAAACCCTTAACCCTAATTCCTTTCTTGGTTTAACGGTTCAACCTATCTCATACTTATAGTGTCCTATAAGGTAAACAACAGGAAACACAATGGAGACTATAGGTAGGATCCGTGCTATCAAAAGCTCCATGTGTGTCTGGAGTCTGGAGTTGCAAAGGTGGAGCGGCGCTTCAAGACTACCAAACCCTAAACCCTATAAACCCTAAACCCTAAACCCTATAAGCCCTAAACCCTATAAACCCTAAACCCTAAACCCCAAACCCTAACAAAGGTTACCTTATCCTGGAGCCTTGGACACCATTCTGCTTCAACCTGAACCGAAAAATACTGCCTCGATGGATAAGGGCGTCGTGCACTGGGACATCAAAAAAAACCTGAGGTTCAAACCAAGTTTCATGCGCTGAACATCTGTGTCTCCCTAGTGGTAGGCCCTTATCGAACACCACGCATCAGATAAGTCAGGAGCCTTAATTATTAGAGTACGGTTTTAGTGGTATAGTCTACTTTAAAGTTGTAAGAAAGAGCTCTGCGGCTCTCAGGAATAACCTAGTCCCCTATAGCACAAGCTTCACAAGCATTCTGAATGATTCCGGGTGGCTCCAGTGAGCCCATCACGCTGCCCTCGGAGTGAACGCACGTGTTGCCCGCGTTGCGGAGCACGAACAGGTCCTTGGGACGACACAGCAGAGTGCCCTTAGGGTTTAGGATCTAGGGGCGTCTTTCAAAGGGCAATAAGAATAATAATGAGAATACAGTTAATGGTAATGCCAGCAGTAGTAGTAGTAGTAGTAGTAGTAGTAGTAGCAGCAGCAGCAGCAGCAGTAGTAGTAGTAGTAGTAATCAGAATAAAAGTAATAGTAATAGTTAGAAATAATCTAAATGGGCTGGCAGCATGCAACACGGCGCAGCTAGTCAGAGCCTGACCTCCGGGAGCTTCGCAGCTTAAATGTTGTGGCCTTGATCATTAGAATAGGGTTTTGGGTATATCATAAGAATTAGGGTGGAGGGTTTAGGGTGTCGGATAGCGATCATTAGAATAGGGTTTGGGGTATATCAGAAGAACAGGGCTTTTTGGTATATTGTACTATAATGCTACTAAGAGATGGGCCGTGATAGTTAGAATAGGGTCTTGGGTATATCAGAAGAATAGGGCTTTTTGGTATATTATACGATAATGATAATAAGACATGGGCCGTGATACTTAGAATAGGGTTTTGAGGTATATCAGAAGAATAGGGCTTTTTGGTATATTATACAAGAATGATACTCGCGAAATGGGCCTTGATCATTAGAATAGGCTTTTGAGGTATATCAGAAGAATAGGGCTTTTTGGTATATTATACGATAACGATAATAAGACATGGGCCGTTATACTTGGAATAGGGTTTTGAGGTATATGAGAAGAATAGGGCTTTTTGGTATACTATGCAATAATGATACTAGCGAAATGGGCCTTGATCATTAGAATAGGGATTTGAGGTATATCAGAAGAATAGGGCTTTTCGGTATATTATACGATGATTTGATAATGATACTAGCGAAACGGGCCTTGATCATTAGAATAGGTTTTGAGGTATCTCATAAGAATGGGGTTATGGGGTATATTATACTATAATGATAAGAAGGAGCTCAATAGGGTGCAGCGTTTAGGGTTTTAGGGTTTAGGGTGTCGGATAGGGCCATGGGCCGTGATAATGAGAATCGGTTTTGCGGTACATTATGCAAAAAACCAGGAAACCTAAGGTATACCTTTTACCAATATAGTCTCCATCGTAGTTGTAGTTCCTTTCTTCTTTAAGACATTGTTTGCTAAGATCCTAGAGTGAGGTAATCCCAAAAGGAACTACAATGGAGACTGTTGGTATGACTTGTTGTAGCAATCTGTCACAGATGACAATGTTCGCAGTGATGTTTGAATTCTCGGGGCGACTTCATCGCACACGCGCGATTCGCGACTGTCGAACAGATCCTAGCAAGCTGTTTTTCAAACCATGCAATCCCCCCTTGAAGGGGGCGTTGGAAAGCGAACTCGCAGCGAAAATCCCAGACCCTCAACCATCAATAGACCCCGAACCCCAAACCGGGCAGGCTAAAGCCCTAAACCCTAAACTTCCTAAACCCTAAACCTCCTAAACCCGAACCTTCCTAAACCCTAAACCTCCTAAACCCGAAACTTCCTAAACCCTTAATTCCCTCAACCCCTAAAGCCAAGGATGCTAGAACCCTACGCCCTTGCGCCAGATTGCTCCAGGAAGACCATCGAAAACCAACTCAAGCCTCAGGCGCTTAGGCTGTAGGGTTTAGGGTTTTGGGTTTAGGGTTGGTTTAGGGCTTACGGTTTAAGGTTTAGGGTTTATGTAGGGTTTAGGCGTTTGTCAACAGTTGAAACCATGGGCCCCTAGATGCCCCTAGTATGGGCCCATAACCCTGGGATCCTCACATACCTACAATGTACCCTATATAGATTCTTAAGGGTCCCAAGAACTCCCTCAAAAAGGGCGAGGGGTCCATATTAGGGGCCCATACTTCTAACCTTAGCGTTTGGGGTGTACTTAGACAGCCCAACTCCCGTTTAATATACCGCAAACACCCACTAGTACGGGCCAGAAGGACTCGTTTGAAAGGCCCCTTGGCGGGTCTAAGGTTTCGGGTTTGGCTTGTAGGGTTTCGGGTTTGGGGTTTAGGGTTTGGGGTTTAGGGCAAAGGATTTGGAGTTTAGGGTGCGGGGTTCGAGTTTGGGGTTTCGGGTAACGCGTTAACTGGTTATTTTAGGGACTTATAAGTACCATAAGCCCAGTTAGGTCCCTTTTAGGGTACTTATAAGTCTACTTACTACCTACTTACTAAGTCCCCCGACCCTCCAAGTAAGGTTGCGGATTGGGGGGTTTAGAGTTTTGGAGGTTTGGAGCATTTTGGCTCTGGGGGTGCCTTCAAGTCCGAGGTTCTGGTGTTTGGTGAGGGTCGCCGGGGACCATTGGCGCAACTACTTAATACCTGGGTTGTAGTTTTGGAGCTGTGAAAAGTATTTATGAATAGGTACCTCTATAAGAACCATAAGGGAAATTAAAAAGTTTCCCAAATTGCCACCTGGATACTTAATCCTGTTATGCTTCTATCTGCTCTTGAATAATTACTGACCAAAGTATGCTCGCTTGGCTTGGTCATCTTAGAACCCTGATGACGCAAGACTATCCCCTCAAACCCTACATTTAGCTCAAATACACTGAACCTCAGAAACCTATACTTCAGCTGAAGGCTACGAGGACAATTATGTTCCAACTTTCCGGTACTACTGTAAACCCTACGTGAAGCTCCCCGTGCGTCGAAAAGCTGGGAACAGAGTCTGGCGAGCTGAGCATCGAGCGAGTCTTGTCCTACGGTTGATGATGTAAATCCTGCATTACCCACCATAACAAGGAATATACCATAATTCCAATAGTTTAGGGTCCTTGAGGCAATGCAGGATTTATATCATCAACCGTACTCATGCGACACTCACATCCCACATAACAGTGGGTTTCGGGTTTAGGGCTACTGTTTAGGGCTGGGGTGAGACCGATTGTATCAGGAGCAACGACAATCACAGTACTGCCAAGGCAAACATGTCCGGGCTGAACCAAGCCAGTGGTTCTACTGACATGCCTGCGTGACTAGAAACTGAAGTTAAGTACTTCGGCAAGGAACCCGAAAATCCGGGACCGTCGTTCCGTTTGAAGTTCGAACAAGTCCTAGTCCTCAGCCCCTGAACCCCTGCACCTGAATCCCTAAACCCTCAAGCCTTAACCGTAAACGGCCCTAAACCCTAAACCCTTCACATACATACGTATGTACATCTACATAGCCAGTATATAAATAATGTGCGTATAATGCACATGCGTGCTGTTAAACTACGGTAAACCGTGAAAGGATGGGATCGAAAATCGTCACAAACTCGGGACTCTCACTGGAGCGACACTTGGAGTTTACTTTCGGCGCCGCTGGGCTGGTGCTGGTCACTCATCCAAGAGTCCAGCCCACTTGAAGCAGATATGAAGCATGTAGTGGTCGATGGCCCGGGTGCCACAAACAACGGGAAATAGCTTTACAGCCATTCTCTTCGTCCAGCGGATCATATCTTCCCCCAGGACACACAATCTGTATCTGTAGTTGCAGCCGCGCACAAAAATCGAGAAATGATATCTGAGTTGCTTTGAAGCTTCCGCCTTCAGCGCGATGCTCAGTGCGGATCGCAACCGCATGTGGATCTTCCACTGCTGAGCAGAATATGCTGTGGCTTATATAAAACACTGCACCGTCCAGCACGACAAAGCCTCTGAAGAATGTCGCCGCGAAACAACCCAATCAAAGTAAACCCGAAGTGCTCTAAGGATTTGCTGGGTCGCCGCGAGGTTGCCTTCAGAATTTAAACTATATGACGAATAACAAGAAGTTTCGACCGAGCTACAGATCAGCCTGCATGCTACAGCTGCAAAATCGCTCTGGGCGAGAGACGGCACCCGAGAGTCTGCGCATCCCAGGATGGCTGAGTGTGGCGCCTGTCCGTCGGGTTTAGGATTTAGGGTTCAGGGTTTACCTAGAAACCCCCAACTACCCGTTATTGTAGTCCCTAATTACCTCTCCATGAGAAATACTAGAGCCCTTCAAAGGGCACTGGTAGGGGCTTAGGGTTTAGGACCGAGTTGATCCTAGGATGGCTTCAGGTCTAAACAGGGTTCCTGGAGCCTCTAGGGCCTCTAGGGTTTGGGATTTACAGTAGAAGCCAGACAGTTGGAACATCATTGGCCTCATGCCCTTAAGGTAAAGTATAGGGAATCCTAGCACGGATCCTCCTAAATCCATATTCCAACTTTCTGGGGTTCACTATATAGGGTTTAGGGAAAGCAGTTGAAAGTGGTCCGCTGCATCAAGAGTTGAGAGAGGTGATACCAAAGACTCCGGCATTCTTGATAAAGGGACCTTGATAATTAGAATAGGGTTTTGGATATGTTCGAATATAGTTATACTACGAGACCCCGAAATAGCGTTCGTAATTATTTCAGCCTCACTATTATGTTGTTCTTGTTGGGGTCGGGCGGCTAGGGCTTGGGGTCTAGTGCCAACGCTCCACGCGTCGGGCTAATTTGTCTAACATAGGGGCCTTAGCAACACGAATTTCGTGTGTCAGGTTTAGGGTTGAGGGCTCAGGGTCTTATTCAAGTGCAACTGTGTTAGGGGACAATTAGGGAGTTTCCGAAATTAGGGGGCCCTAATATAGTACCTTAAATATAAGGATCCTTTTTATAAGGACCCCAGAATAAGGTACTCCAAATTTTCGGAAACTCTAAACCCTAAACCCTTTATAGAACCCTTAGAGATCCCTTTAAGGAACCCTATATACGGCTCCCTTTAAAGATACCGCTAATTCTCGGAAACTCCCATAAGGGAGTACTGTGTTGCTACCCATTCAACCAACTCCCAATACCCAGGCCCCTGAACCCGGATCACCTCAAGTAGAATGGGGCTCCTTTAAAAGGTCCTTTAAAGGGGTCTACAGGGGATCTACAGTACTTGTAGGGTTCTATATAAAGGGCCTTAATGATTTTAATAAGGTTTGAGGCTAGGGAGGTCTTGCAACATTTTTGTTCTACACGGCACTCTTCACTCCGGTATTCTACGACAACTAAAACTTCACCGCCGAAGCCCAAAAAGAGCTCGCGCAGGGCCTGGCCCACTGTCGCCAAGGCTTTCCGCCTAGTGAGCAACTAGGGTGGCAAGTTTAGCATTGCGGGTCTCTTGCGGATGTGTGTTTGGAGGCTTGGGACTCTGTCCTGCAGCTCGAATATGGGGGGGTCGGCTTGATGAGCGAAACAGGGTTAGGGGGTGTATCTACTCACTATGTAACAACATGCAGGGACTGTTAAGGGGATGCAATTAGCACATGCTCTGACCCCTATACATCAAGGCGTTGCAGAACCCTTGTACCATCGGTCTAGAACCCTGAATGAAAGCTGTAACGAAGACGATATTGAATTCTGTGGGTGTCTCCAAGGTATCCGAAGCCAACACGCTAAATCAGAAGCCGCAAACCGAAATCCTGGGTGTTTAAACTCTGAATTAAGGTTTGGGCCTATATCAAAGCTGTTATTCTAAAGAACTTAAAGAATCAGTTAGAGGAGTTGAATCCCCAAATCCAAGATGCGGGGTAGGAGCTACGAAGCTTAGGGTTGGTACTGGTCACCTGGAGCCTCGTTAGGGTTTCGCAATCAACCCTTTCAGGCGCGGGCATCTTCGCATCGATCTTGCCAGCGATGGGGGCACCCACGGCAAAGCGCTCGTTGCCTCTGGTGGCTCCACAAGCTGTGAGTTTGGGAATTGCAAGCTTTTAAGGTGGGTTTGAAGGGCTCCAGGAAGCTTTTATAAAGGATTCATAGAATTGACGAGGGTTGCTGTGTTGGCTTGATGATTGAAGACTGATTGCAAAATGGGAAAAGGTCTAGGACTTATAGTTCGTGCTCCCTGTGAAAGATCCCAAGAGAGTATATCCAAAGAAGTCCGAAAACCTCAAAAGCCGGATAAACACGCGCTTGGAGACCTCCTACAACCCGCGCAAAATCCCAAATAAAACCCGTGCAAAGCCCTAGTACTATAAAAAACCTAAACCTTGCAAAGACCTATTAATGACCCCTAAGCCCTAAACCTTAAGCCCTGAACCCTTTTAAGAGAATCTAAAGGGCAGGCCTTCCTTCAAAAGCTTCAGCGCCGCCTGTGCCGGCATCGGCGGGTCCTCACAGGGTTTAGGGTCTTTGGGTTTGGCGTTTACGTTCCTTGGGTTCTACCTTCACCCGAAAAGCTCCATCCTCTAAAGACTTATATAAGGAGATCACAATAAGGAACCAAGGAACCCTGAATAGGCCTGGTTCTTTAGGGTTTAGGTGGGAATTAGGCTCCCCGCCGGCGTTGAGAGATCCTACGCTTGGCAGGTTAGAGTCTTGGTGTGTAGAGTTGTAGGCTTCAGGGATTATAAGGTTCACGGCTTAGGGGCTTAAGCACTGGTTCAGAGGGCTTAGGGCTATCGAATTTCGGCGCGGACTTTTCAAAAAATGCTGAGAACCTCAAGGCCCTATAACCTAAACCCTACCAGGCCTTTTAAGGGCCCTTGAACAGAGTCCTTATGGCCAAGTGAGTATTTGGGGGTTTTCTTGGACGGGTGGTCCGGGGGTGTCTAGGTAATCCCTAAACCCTAAGCCTTAAGGGACCCCCTCCTCTGGAGTGCGAACGCCATGCGCGCCAATGAGCGCCAAAGAGTCGGCGGAGTTGCTCATGGAGGGCGGGAGTTGCCTGAGCTGGGAGGGGTTAGGGGGGGCTTTGGGCTTAGGGATTTGGGGTCGTAGATGGGGTCATGTGAGGCTACATAAGCTTGGTAAGCTCTTTACTACAGTGGTCTTAACCAAGAGAACAGGGTCTGGGGGTATATTAAAGCTTTCGGTTGAGCTCAAGACTTAGTGCCTTAGGGCTTCAGGTTGTGGTCTGGGACGGGTGCACACTATGTCCAGGGATCTTGCAAATTCATGCACTGTGCTCTACAGTAAACCCCAAAAAGTTGGAAACCTGAGTAAGGACAAATAGTGCTGGGATTCCCTATACATTAATCTTAAGGATTGAGGCTAGGGGGTTTCCAACTTTTTGGCTTCTACTGTACGCCCTGTATGAAAGGATCTTCGTTGCGCAACGACAAGAAGCATGAGAAGGGCGTTACTGTACCCGAAACCCTGCTCCTCTCACCTATAACCTTTGTGGTTTCACTGGAGCTTTAACAAACGCAGTACTTTGGTCTTGAACCCGAATCTAGAACCCGATTCCTTTACGAAGCCCCACTTGATAACAAGCTTCTGACTTCATCCCGCAAAGCTTCAGCCCTCATAAAAAGCCTAAACCCTAAACCCGAGGCCCTGAACCCTAAACCGGAAAACCCTCCAAAGACTCATAGCACTGACAACGAGAAAGTTCTCTCCCTCGTAAACGACCTTTAGAACACATGGACCCTGAACACGGGGTTTTTCAGGGTCCAGGCCAGCTCTCAAGGAAACCGCAACCCTTTATATACTCTGAACCCTCAACAAAAGACCCTATGCCTCAGACAAGTCTGGCACTCTAACCCCGAAGCCCTAAGCCCCAAAACCCTGAACACCAAAACCGCCAACCTAAACGCTGCACACCCTAAACACCTAAACCCCACAGCAAAAATCTAAACCCTAAATCCCGAAACACCACAAAACCCCTACGACTCCAAAGCTTAAAGGCCCCCTTTTAGGGGTTTGGGGTTCCTGTAAGGGTTTCTTCAAAGGCCCGATGAAAAGATCGACGAAGCGAGTCGCAACTTGGAAGCCAAGAGCTCTGCCTGCAAGGTGCAGGGTTTAGGGTGTAATGGAGGGGCCTGGTTTAGGGTTTAGGGTGTAATGGAGTTTAGGGTTTAGGGTTTAGCGTTTGGGGTGTCATGGAGGGGCCTTAATAATTTCACTAAGGTTCCTTTAAAGGGTTCCTTTGAACGGGGTCCGTAAGGGCTACTATAAAGGCTATTGTAAGGATTCAATGGAGGGACCTTTTTCTTTCACTAGGGTTTTGGGTGTGTCTCTTATTCTAATAATAGTCGAATATGCCCCTCAACCCTAGTCTAGTTATTCAAGCACCTACATGAAGGTCTAGGTCAAGCTTGAGGCTACAATAACGAATATAGGTTTTGGTTCTATTACCTATGATTGTTTTGGCAAGGAACCCTGAGAAACAATTTTGGCAAGTCTTCGGGCTTCTGTATTGGACTGCTGGATATGAGCCTTTGCCTCCAGGGTATAACCCCACAATGAAGTCAGCTCGACGCTGTCCCCGAGGAAAGGCCCGTATGCCCTGCAAAGCAAGGGCGAACTAATTCAATGCCTGAACCTCCGCTCCGGTAGACATGATACCCTAACTTAGGAGCCACTCGGTAGCTCACAACCTGAGTTCAAGCCTGCAGCAACATTGGCCGCCGAATGAAGAAGCATTGGCATTGGCATTGGAAAAGAAGCCCTTGCCACCAGAAGCAGTGGCATTGGCATAGGAGCCACCATCGAAGCTCTACACTTGCCTGGGTGTTGAAAGACTGCTTGTGAGGTGATCGAAGAGATGGTCGAGGAGTTTCTCCATGGCCCGAAGGCATATGAAGCCGCCGACTGCCGCCACCGATGTGGACAGTCGACGTCGTGGCGAGCGCGAAGGCGACTTGTCATTCGGCTTGTCATTCTGCTTGCCTTTCTGCTTGTCATTCTGCTTGAGACCTGGCCAAGGTCTTTGCCAAGGTGGAACGGGGTAAGACTGAGATGCGAATGGCCGGGGCTTAGTACCACGAGATTTTGAGTGCAGGAAATCAACATCCTTTGCAGCCTTCCGGTAAGAAAGGTCCAGAACACTTGCAAAAACACAATGAAATTCTTGACATCTGGACCTGGAAATGGGTCAAGATACAGCACCTGCATGCACGGAACCAAACAATCCACCACGCGTTTGTGGGAAACCCAGCAGCTCCTAAACCCTAAACTCCTAAACCCTAACCCCAAGCCCTAAACCCCAAACCTCTAAACCCCGACATTCCTAAATCCCTAAACCGAAAAAACCCCTATGCAACCCCCAAACCTAAACCCACAGCCCTAAGCCCTGAACCGTGGCGGTTGCCTGCTTTGGCGAAGGCCCGAAGAAGTCAACTTCGCCGGTCTCCAACTTGTAGACCGCCCCTTGGGACGCAATGAACCCAGACACTCCAACCTAAACCCTAACCTGTAAACTCTAAGCCCTAGACCCTGACCCCTAACCCCCAAATCCTAATACCTAACCCCTAAACCCTTGAAGCCGAGACACTGAACCCAGACACTTCGTCACATCTTGCTTCTTCGAGCTCTGCCATGTACAAGGTAGCATATTAATATATGTACAAGAATTGCAAGGACCCATAATTTCCATGTTGCACATTGGGTTGGGGGTCTACTTGCAACCCTGAAGCCTCAGCCCTAGAGCCTACACCCTAAACTCTAAGCTCTCTAAACCCTAAGCCCTAAACCCTAAACCCTAAGCCCTAAACCCTAAGCCCTAAACCCTAAACCCTAAACCCTAAACCCTAAACCCTAAACCCTAAACCCTAAACCCTAAACCCTAAGCCCTAAACTCCAAACCCGAAGCGACACAGATAGAGTGGACTCTCGAGGTTCCCCATGGCAGGGACTGCGGAGGAAGGCATACTCTCTTTGCCCCAAGAGTCCAAAGGACCCAATAACAAGGTACTCGGCTTTAGGATAGTAGTTATGTTTGGAGAGTATATGATTATTAGGTATACTTGGACCCTTGGGATTTGGTTGAATATCCCAATTATGGGGCCCTTGATGATTCGAACGGGGGTTTAGGGTTGCAATAAGGATTCCTTTAAGGGGTCGAAGTGCGGCTTTACCATAAGGGTCTAGTAGGTGCCGGAACCATTGGAAGAGGGCCTTTGGGGCATCAGCAAACAGAAGGACTACAAGCGGAGGATATTACCAACTATTTAGACACCCATATTACGCAACACAATCTCTGGGGCCCTTACTGTAAGGTTTAGGGTTTACGGCTTAGGGTTTAGGGTTGAGCAGGGGGCCAGGAGAAGACCACGGGGCCACGGGAACAGAGGACTGCCAAACCTAGGAACAACGATCCGGAGTCGAAATAAACCCTCAACCCTAACGTCTAAATCTTGAAGCTCAAACTTGCACTGAGCTCGAAGACTGCCTCTGATGCCCATGGCCGATCGCTTTCAGTCGGTGACAGAACACGTTGGATGAACTCGTTGAGCATTCTGTCAGGGGCTTGAGTAAGCAGCTGTCGAAGCCCGCAGAGAACTTGACCGGCCGATAAAACGTCCGCTTTGAGGGCATTCGTCGACCCAGATTGAAAGTGCCAAAAAAGAAGAATGTTAGCGACATTGCCACCCAGGCGGTTCAACAACTGGTGCCTGCTCTGCAGCTGCTCCGCTGCGTCAAAGTCAATGATGACGACGAGATGGTCGCTGCCAGTATGTAGATCGGGCCGGATGCAGAGATTGGCAGGCTTCACGTCTGTGTGTGTGTAGCCAGCGAAAACAGAAGTCGCCACGCACAAAACGTCGCGCGTGCGCACTTGCTTTATCTTCATGACTTGCTCGAGGTTGGGGCCGAGGAGTTCCATGACCATCTCGGGCCTGATCTGCTCCGATCCGGGGGTGCTAGATGGGAGTTTCCGAAAATTAGGGGTACCTTATTGTGGCTCCTTATAATAAGGATCCTACTACTTAGGGTACTATATTAGGGTCCCCTATTTTCGGAAAGTCCTAGATAAGCAAATTGAATTGGTGTCTGCTAACTTATTCTGTATAGGAGTTGGGCCTTGGGGCATGTTCGCAACATTCAGGGGTGCATCAATGTAGAACTTCGAGCGCGGCGATGTGGTGGTACGATGTTCCAGGGCCCAGTCTAACCGCGAAAGTCACGGACACAAGCTGATTGAATGTTGGCAAGTAGGGGTGGTGAGAGCATTCACCATAAGCCCAACACCGCCAAAATCCTACTCACTCTGGAATCTGAGTTCGGAGTCAAACCCCAAACCTCCACATCCTCAGCCGCACGCCGTGGATTTCCAACTCTCCGCTCTTGGCCAACGCCTCATCGCTACAAAGGCTCCGGGTTTGGGGTTTAGCGGTTTGGGATTTCGGGCAGGGCGTAGGGGACTAGGCTAGAGGGTTCAAGGGGTTTGGGCTATGTAGGGTTTGGAGTAAACAGCTCAAACCAAACGGACTAGGGCTGGGATTCGGATTTCATAAACCCTACTTGGAGGTTCATGGGTAGTTATACGTGGGGTGATAAGTCCCCTAACAGAAGCTATCAGTATGGTTACCCTACTTATAACCCTACTTATAACTACTCATGCACCTCCAAGTACACTGTTCCAGCCTATACACAAAATCGAAAAACCGTTATATACAGGGGCTTGAGCTCAACGGATGTACGGCTTCGGGGCTGTGGTTTTCAATGTCCGAATGTCTGAATGGGTATTGGGTTGGAGTTCAGGGTTTAGGGTTTAGGTGCTAACTTTCCTGAAGGGCTCTCAGAGCCTATGTGTGTGCGCCCAGCCGCTTCCGCAGGTTTTTCTTCAGAAACAGCCGGATGTCGGTTTTCCCTCCGAAAAGGACAATTCGGCCGGGAGCCGAATCATCGGTTTTTGCTCAAAACCTGACAATTCGGCTCCTCGTGTGTGGGCCGGGAGCCGAATCATCAGTGTTTCCTCAAAACCTGACAATTCGGCCCCCCGTGTTTGGACTGAGAACCCGGAAGGAAAGTTGGCAGGTTTAGGTGATCAGGCTGCAAAGATCAATAAGTCCAGAAGGATTTTGAAGAGCTTGGTGTGCGCGTTGTTGCGGTCAACTCGGCACCGAGCTACTTGAAAGTGAATGGAAATCCCCGGCCCTAAACCCTTTGATGTGAGACGCTATCATCATGTACTCCCCCCAAACCACTTGCAGGAAGTTCGGAAATCTCGGATCGCACCGCACCTAAGACCCTGAACAAGATTCCACACCCGCAATCAAACCGACCCAAACCCGCCGAAATACTTGTACTATGGCGCGGGGGATACACTTATCGTATCCTTACGCTTCCTGTATGTGTGTATATATATATATATGTGTGTGTGTGTGGGGTATACATGTGTATACATATAAATATGTGAAGACTACAGGAAACCCTAGTACTAATTCATCCCCGCCGCTTTCAGCTTGTGGAGCCTTCTGAATCCTGACAACGAGCCGAAAGCCTCAAGCCCTGCACCCAAACCCTAAGCCACGAAGCCAGAAATCCTAAGATAGGGGCCTCAATAATTACCTAGACGATTCTGGGGGCTCCTCATTAAAATTATAGTAGAATGGGCCCCACAACCCTATTCTAATTATTAAGGCCCCTATATTACCACCCCTCAACAATCCCAGCTAAAACTCTGAACTCTGGACCCTCCACTCGGCCCGAATCCCTAAACCCCAAACCCTGAACCCTGAATCCTAGACTCCCGGAACCCCAACTCCTAAAGCCGGAGCCCTAAATCCTAAAGCCGGAGCCCTGCATCCTAAACCCGGAATCCTAAATCCTAAACCCGGAACCCTAAATCCTAAACCCTAAGTCATATGCTCCCGATCGGCCCCTGGCAGAGCCTTGAGGTTGGCGCGGAGGATGGTATAGACTTTAAGGGTTTAAGGAGTCAAGGGGGTCCTCATAAGGGCTCCTTTAAAGGGCTCTGTGAGGGTTTAAGGTTTAGGGGTACCCTATTTCGGGGTCCTTACAATACGGATCCTACTATTTAGGATACTGTAGGAGGGTTTGGGGTTTTAGAATTAAGGAATATATCGTTTAGGGGTTTAGGGGTTTTTGACGTCGGGCTTCAATATGCCAACACTCGAGCTCCGATATCTGATAAGACAGGTTCATAGCCGTACATGCGGCCTGTGCAGTAAACCCTGGGGCGGCTTGGGTTTACGGCTTTGTGGGTTTAGGGCTTAGGGTTTAGAGTTTCGGGCTTAGGGTTTAGGGCTTAGGGTGTAATCCAACTTTTCTTATATAAGTTAGCCGCACTTGCGCTGCAACGTCCCGTAACTCTCCAGCACGGTTTCTAGGACGGTTTCTGCATCCGGGACACTCGAATGGGCTCACTGAACTTCAAAAGGAAGTTGATGGTGTTGAACACGTTCACCTGCCATTCAGGAGTTCAGGGGCCGTTATGGTCCTCTACCTCAACCCGAACCGCTTCCCTCAACCCCAAAAACCTCCGGCCCCCAAGCTGAGCCTCTGAAGCACAAATCACCCTACAAAACCCGGCTTAGGTGGTGGGGCTTAGACGTCACACACCTACATTTTACATCCCCCAAACCTCCCAAAACCCTAACCCTGAACCCTAGCCCTTAAACCTATAACCCAGACGCATCCTCGACTCCCTTTGGTGCTGCTTTGAGAAAGGCTCAATTGGGAGTTCGTGGGTTTCTCTAGGGGGCCTTCACGATCGGCAAAGGCTTTGGAGGTAAGGTTTAGGGATTGGGGAACCGGAGAGCCTCATTACTGCTCTCGGCCTTCGGTTAGCTTAGGAACCTGATTAAGAACCCCCCCAAAATAGTAGGGTTCGTATAAGGAACCCGAAAAAGGCGCAAGGTTTCTTAATCAGGTTCCTACATCATAGTAGTACCCGTATAGATCCCTTATAGTAACCCTTATAAACCCCTTTAAAGGGGCCCTAATAAAGGCGCAAGGTTTCTTAATCAGGTTCCTACATTAAGGAGCGGGATCCCTGGAGCCTGTCACCAGCAGTGCAAGTGAGGAGGAAATTGGGGAGGTCTTGGGTGCAGATTAGCAGCGGTAGTAGTAGTAGTAGTAGTAGTAGTAGTAGTAGTAGTAGTAGTAGTAGTAGTAGTAGTAGCAGTAGTAGTAGTAGTAGTAGTGGTGGTTGTTGTTGTTGCTGTTGTTGTTGTTGTTGTAGCAGTGGTAGCAAGTAGTGGTAGCAGTCGTAGGCGTAATCGTAGTCGGAGACGGAGTCGTAATCGTAGCCGTAGTAGCAGGAGGAGGAGCAGGCAGGTAGGGTCCAGGGCTATAGTTACCTATAGGCTCCATAGTAGTTCATTTTTGGGATTACCTCATAGGATTCTAATTATGAACCCCAAAAAAGAACTATCACGGAGCCTCTAACCCTAAACCCTCAGCCCTAAACCCTAGGCCCGAAACCGTAAACCCTAAACCTTATATCCTAAATCCTAAACCCTAAGCCCTAAACCCTGTAATTACCCGGGGGGGATAAGCCCCAAACTCGAACACTGCGAAGCGAACCTTCACCGCTGCACTTGCGATATCGCCGGCGCTCGGTGCACCACCCAGCTCCTGGAGTTTAGGTTTAGGGATTTAGGGTTTAGGGTTTTAGGGTTTAGGGTTTTAGGGTTTAGGGTTTTAGGGTTTAGGGCTTAGGGTTTTAGGGTTTGGGGTTTTGGGTTTAGGGGTTAGGCCTGATGCTCTCGAACTGGTACGGGCCAATTCTTGAGGAAACCTTTACCCGAAGCCCATAAGCAAAAGCCACTGGTTTAGGTTATGCGTATTCTGAGTTGCCAATATATGTGCCAACAACAAACAGAAGCACATTTGGTGGCTTCAAGGTAAACCCTGACTTCTTCCTTGCGCTAATGGGATGGGCCTGACAATTCCAATGCCCTTTGCACCTCAATGTGACACCCTGGACTAGGGTTTAGGGCATCCTGACCCACAAGGAATCTGCGCCGCATGGTCAACTAGCGACGTTGGTAAGGATCTCAGGCCTCTAGGCTTCGCCCTGAACCCGAAACCCTACTTAAAGGGTCTAAGGTCGAAGACACCAAGGAGTATGAGGGTTAGGTCTGCCGTGCTCGAGACGTGCACGATTGGATATGGTGTTTATGCTGTGCATCACGAAACCGCGATGGGTCTCAGCCTATCATGCGGGCCATCTCTACAAGACATGATGCCTCTCTTCTTCAACAACCGGGCCCAAAAAAGTTCAAACTTTCTAAGATAGAGCTAATATATAAGGCCAAAAAGTTTAAAGTTCCCCCGTTCACTATCTAAGATGCTTCTGCTTCTCCGGCAGATCTTCGTCCGCTTTTCTCTCGACTTCAAAGGATCGGATGACTGGTGGTCTGAGATGATCATGTGGGACTCTGTCGGACTTCGGGCTGCATTTATAAAAGGGGGTGCTTTATAACATAGGGGCCCAAATAAGTACCAATATGTTCTGGGTTCCTGGTTAAAAATACAGTACTGTGAACCCCAAAACCCTATTCTAACTATGAAGGCCCCTGTATTAACAGCGGTTCTGCTGTTTGGGGTCCACGTCAGGGCTGGGGCAGCTGGGTTTCGCAAGTTGCAAGCTTCCACCTTCCGAGACCCACAACTCTGCAACCTCACCTCCCAGACACAAGAGGAAACCAGGAATAAAAAGCATGCCCCCTGTTGGTTTAAAGGGAACTCCAGAAAGTTGGAATATGGTTTCAGGGTAGGATACCTTATAGTTTACCATAGAAGGGTTAGGATAATCATATTCCAACTTTCTGGCTTTTACTTTAAAGGGGCTTTTGAGAGAACCCGAACCCTAAACATGGGAATAGGGGTCTACTCTGGGTCCTAGCCTCTGAAGTTGAACCGGAAGTCCTACACGCCTCGAAACTCAGAGCCCGAGCTCCATCACCTATATTTGGAGGTTCATGGTTACAGTTATAAGTGGGGCGATAAGGGTTCCGTTCAGGGTTCCTCTAAAAGGCTCTAGAGGGATTTAGGGTTTAGGGATTAGGGTTTAGCTTAGTTATAAGTGGGGCTAGAAGCCCCCTAATATGGCTTATAAGTATTGTTACCCTACTTATAACCCTACTTCTAACTACCCACGAGCCCCCAAGTACAGATATCCCGAACCCGACAGCCCGGATGCCTCAAACCGTAAAGATCCCTGTATTTTGTAGCCTGATCTTAAGAATCCTTATGTGCACCCTTCTAGCAAGCTATACTTGGTAGAGTGCCTGGGCTGTCTGGGCTGCCACGGAAGTCAGCCCCTGCCACGGCCAGTGTTGCAGGAAACGGTTTAGGGCCTAGGAGGCACTGAACCCTTCCGCAAATCCTACTTCAGCACCTGCTTCCGAAGCTAAACCTCTGAACCCCACTCTATGTGTAGTTCAAGGCCCCTTTCAATGATGATCCCAAAATTCATACCCCGCTTGTGCTTTCTTCCTTGGCTGGGCATGAACCCGGCCTACGCCCGAAAAGCCTGCTTCAGTGGCCCTGCAGGGCATCCTGCCCACAAAATATCCAGAGGTTTGTGCCAAGAATCAGAGAGGAGCTCAAGGCATTCCAAGGCACTATGTAACCCTAAACCTGAAACAACTTACACCCCAAATTTCACAAATCTCGAAATCTTCCACACCCTAAGATGCACAAGAGTCTTAAGCACCGGGCTCGAGGATGCAGACTGGGGCCGCGGCTTCACGGCTTGGGTTTCCTTTACAGTTCGTAAAAGGCTATAAGAGTTGCTTTAAAGGGTTGGCAAACTCTTCAGCCCTAAACCGCCTGAAGCGTCAAACCCAAACCCTCATACTAAACCGGAAATGCCTCGCCCTGAGGCAAACACGAAACCCTCCGATTCCAATCCGAAACCGCAACTCCCAAAGGCTAAACTCCTAGCTTGTACAACTGCTAACTAAGTCCGTTCATCAGAAACTCCAAAAACCTTGCAACCAAAAATGTCAGGGCTCCACACACATCCCCCGAGTCGCAAGGGGCAGTTGTGATGGCGAGTAAGCAGGATGACCAGATCGCGCGACCCCCTTTATGCCTACTGGCTTTTTGCAACGAAAGCCGCGCCATCGTGAACTCTGACCATAAAACCACAAGCCTCCTGAAGCTCTGACGCCGAAGAGGCAGAGACATGTTTGTAAGCTGCAAAATCACCGCCTAACGCAACACAAGGGCCTTAACAGTTAAACTGTGGTTTTGGCGGGTATTGCACTGTAAAGCCATTGTAGAGCCGTAAAGCATAATGACAGTAGCAAACCATTCAGAACTCAATATTATAGGGGCCTTAGAAATTAAATCAGGGTTTTGGGGCCCACTATGCTCTAATTATACCCAGGAGCCCCCAAAATAGCATAGGTATTTTGAGGCACGTAATTTCTTTAGGCTATGTCCGTAGAATGGCCATTAAGTATAGTAGCCCTCATAGAAGGAACCCTATAGGCCATAAGGACTTCGCGTCAAACAGGAGCAGGCCTGAAGAAGACCCTCGAGAGCGCAGCCAGGCGTCTGTGGGGCACAGGAGGATTTGCAGGGTTTTTGTTGGTTTTCTGCCGATGTACATAGGGCTTTACAAGTAAATTGTCTTTATAAGGTGTATATCATGCGTATGTATATATATATATATATATACATATATATATATATATATATATGGTCACCCCACCCCCGTTGACAGACCATGCCCTTTCAACTCCGTCGTAGTGCATGTTCTGTGATCGGGGGGAGGGGGCACTCAGCTTTCAAAAACTCAGTTCCAAAATTTCCAAAATTCTCTCCCCTAACTTTCCGGATTTCCAAAATTTCTAAAATTTCCGAAATTTCTAAGTCCGCCCTTATGTTTTGGAAAAATCCTGTCCACTAGGTCGGGCCGTTTTGGAAATTTTGGAGATTTTGGAATTTCTGAAATTTCGGAAGTTTTTGGAAATTTTGGATTTTTTTGAAATTTTGGAAATTTTGGCATTTTTGGAAATTTGGTAAATTTGGGAAATTTTGGTCTGGACCTCTTGGAATTAATTCTGATTGTGACTCATCCGATGACAGACCCTGCACTACGACTCACTTGCAAAGGCAAGGGCTGTCAATACTCATGCCCATATTTAGACGAATATCTCTCTATCTATCTATCTACCTATCTATCTATCTATGTCTACATATATATATATATATTGATACTCCTATATATAGTATTGCCATTGCTAATACTGACATTGATCATTTGTTGAATGCTCAAGCTAATACCAGCATTACTACTAACAATACACTTCCATAAAGCCTAGTACGAATATGCATAACACGAATACTAATGTTGATTAGTATTGCTATTGGTACTCCTACGCATATCAATAATCATATTCATATTGATAATAGTGTATATCAATACCAATACTAACACACACTTGTATGTAGTAATGTACATAAATTTGCATACCACTGTGTTAAAATACAAATCCTTTAACTCACTCATGTATTCAACTGTTAGTATTTTCACGTGATCAAGAGTAATACTAATGCAAACATTCTTGCGAATGTAGATCATCAATAATATTATAGTACTAACGCTAACACTACTGCTAATACTTAACACAATATTTATACTAACATCAATATTTACATAGCTATTGATACTCCTACGAATACGAATACGCAAACTCTTGTGCGTTAACAGTGGTGCTATCACCAACACTAATACGGACTTTGATAATGTGCTGAATATTCAAGAATGCCACTAGTAGTACCAGCATGAACACTCATATTATGGCTAGTACGAGTATAAATAATTCTAATTCTGATAATATTGACATTAATACTCCTACGAATACCAATAGTATATTCATATTGATATGAAAACTAATATCATTACTCATAGACACCTGCATATACTAATGTACGTAAACTACATACCACTATCTTAAGATACAGGTATATACAGTAGTGCATTCATGTATTAATGCTTTGGCATAGGCATATACCCATACACCAATGTAACAATATACATCTCGTTGTTGTATGAATATACTATACTAATATGTGACTATACTAATATACGACTACTGCAATATGCAAGAATACCGACATGACAAGTTCGTATGCTAATATGCCAACATACTGATATACTTATAAATGATTAGACAATACATGAATATAGTACACATACTAGTAAACGAATACACCAATATACTAGTGCATTCATGCACCAGTTGTACTAACATGTAAAATATGCTAGTATACAGGTATGCAATTTTTTTACTGTTCGAATACATTGATGTATTGATATACTAATCTGCTAACATACGAGACTATCAATATACTAACATAGCAAAACTAACTAGTTCTAATATTGATACTAACACTAGCACTTCTGCGAATATAAGCTGCTATTAAACCCAGCATTAAGACTGGTACTGATACTACTCGCAGCAGTGGTGCTGTATTACTGACATTGACACTGGCACTAGCGCAAACTCCAACACGAACATGAGCACTAACACTAATTTATAGTTGGCAATATTGATATGTATCTGCATGTGTCCTGGGTACATGGCATGTTACATGTAAATATACTATGTACCTCATGTAAAGGTTTTGCTTCATAGAATATCGTCGTGCACGGTGTTTTTTAGACCTGCGGTCTGTCAATGGGGGGTGAGCATATATATGTATATATGCAGGTACTTATTTTCCTGAATACTCCTAATTAGGTGCAAGCCACATGGCTGCGTCCAACCCAGGACGCTACGCCCGGAAATGCGAAATGCGAATGTACTTATTTATTGATTTACGTACATATACGCACAAATGGAATATTGTTGCACAGATGTGCGCATACGCGGACATGTATGTATATATACATCTACACATATATTCCTGATTATGTGTGTACACGCATGCAGGTGCATGTCATACATACATGCATACATACATACACACGTACATGAATGCATACACGGATACATAGCTACATGTGTAATTACCTACATACGTACATACATACATAGGCGCATGCATGCATACGCACATATAAACATACATACGCGCTTATACATGCGTGCACACATGCATCCATACATACACATATACCCATGCATACATACATGCAGGCAAACAGACAGGCAGACAGACACACCGACATACGTCCATACGTTGTTTACCTGCGTGAATATGAACACCGCAAGGCAAGACACATCCGGTGCTTGCTGTGCAGGCTGACAAACAACAAACAACGTATGAGCTCAGCACGACCTTCAATCCCCCCGCAAGAATGTATTGCATGTGCGATTCGCATTCTTGGCAGTCTTAATACCTTTTTCATAATACACTTCTTCGTGTGGTCGGTGTTGAGACGATCCGAACGCACCAGATCGAGAGCACAAACGAAACCGGCACGCCAGTCATTCTCCCAATTCCGAAGGTCCGCCGGCGACGATGCAGCACACTATACTATACTTACATAACTAGACTATACTTGACTATACCCTGCCATATTCACACCATAACATAATAGTGTACTAAAATATACGAGTATATTATGATGATGATATATTGTGCTAGCATGTGTGGTGGTGCCATTTTTGAGCACACCCCGAAACACCAAAACTAGAAAAAGCCAGGAACAAAACCGATACCAAGAATCTGACACCCGCAATCCCCAAGCCAGGGTTTAGGGTTTAGGATCCTAAACCCTAGACCCTCGTACCCGGAATGCTAAACCCCTAAACCTTAACTTTAAATCGCAAACCCCAACTCGAAACCCCTGAACCCTAAACCCCCAACAACATTAGCCAGATGTTTGAGTAGTTAGAAAACCTATCCCCTTATGGGTTCTTTAGATGTCTATCTACCGATTATCGATCTATCGATTGTCGATCTGGAGATCGATATCTACACTTATAAGCATAATATAGCCCGAAATCCCCTTCAAACTGTTAACAACCCCAAACTAAACTACTGTAGGATCATAATGACAAAGTCTCAAATGACAATCTGCCTTGGTCTCAGCAGCCTCCTTGATGGACAAGTACCTGGGACCATGGGGTAGATCCTTTGAGAACATTTTTTGCCACGGCCTAAGCCAGATGCCCTGAACCCCAAACCTGGGATTTGGATGTTCGTTTCTTCGGCAGCTGTGGACAATATGGCCGCTTCGGGTACTTCCCGGGGATGCACCGGGTGTACGCGCACTCTTCTGGGTCTAGGGTTTCGAAATGAGGGTTTTAGGGCTTGGGGGCGGGGGGATTTCAAAGGACCAGGGTTAGGCATTTTGGTGGGTTTCTTGGAGGTTCATGTTCAGGAATATGGCTGAAATAATAAATGGTAGCCATATTCCTTAAGTTACAGTATACCCCTTAGTTAAGGAGTATAGCTAAATTCATAGTATGAAGACCTTGACAATTCAAGCCATATTCCTTGATTAAGGGGTATCGGGCTCTCGGCAAAGGATCTTGCAGACGCGTTCGACATGCAGATTACCGTCACATGTGATTAGGATGAGCCTCCAAAACACCCTTGGGTTAGGATTTGGGGTTTAGGCTTTGGGATGTAGGGTCTTGAGGGTTCAGGGTTTGGGCGTTTGGCATTTAGGGTCTTGAGGGTTTAGGGCTTATAGGCTCTAGGGCTTGGGGTTTGGGCTTTAGGGTTTGGGGATTGAGGGGCACTCCTCACTGATGTTGCATGGGTTTCCAACTGACGTATCGAACTCCATGAACTCCACGCTCTCTCACACACACACACCTATCATCTATCAATTAGTCTATAAAGTACGAAGCCATGAGATATTACTGTGATGAAGGCATGCGATACAAAACTAGGCCCTACATCCTGAACATTCCCATGTCGTGTGCACTACGTGTTTGTTGAAGTGCGCTCTCGTAGATACTCCGGAAGTCGAAAATCTGCTGCGATGTCCGGCAGATCGCACTGGCCAGCATCACAAACGCTCCGAAGCCAGCCTATAGTACCTTATCATACCCTATGATGCCTTATAATACCCTATAATACTCTTAGTACCCTGTAGATCCCCTTAAAGGAACCCTAGAGCATCATCTCTTCACCAAAGATTCCCCGTCCTGCAACCTTGGACATCTGGACCAGGGTATGTAGAAATCTGGGGCATACGGTTGATGATATAAATCCTGAATTACCTTAAGGACCCTAAACTATGGGAATTATGGTATATTCCTTATTATGAGTCATGCAGGATTTATATCATCAACCGTATTGTCGGAACTTGCCGCTCCACAAACACCACGTGGGTGGTTGTCAAAATTAGGGCCCCTTTCCGGGTACACCTAAATAATAAGTGCCGTATTATAATAGGGACCCAAAAAGGGACCCTAATTTTGACAACTACCCACATACAAAAAGTGAAGCACGAAGCATGGTAAGGAAGCTTCAAAACAAAATCGGAAGGGAAACTGCCCCCAGAGAAGAACACCGCAACAAACTTCCCAGAATGCCTCCACGCTTCCTGTCCAGCAAACTGTGCCCTACAGGATGCACGGAGGTTTTCTAGGAGGTTAACGGTTAAATTCAGTTCAAAGCCCTCAAAAACTTGTGGTTCTGGTTTGGTTTCAGACTTTCGGGTTTGGGGTGAAGGGGTCAGTCTTGGCGATAAGAGTCCTAACCACAGTTGCTGATCACAAGAACACTCTAAACACCTCTCTAGACCCAACCAAGCCGGCTTTAGAAAACTATTGCCCTAAACCCCTAACCCTAAACCCCAAACCCTGAATCCCAAACCCTAAACCCCAAACGCTAAACCCCAAACCCTAAAGGAAGGCCCTGCGGAGGCGCACGTGCCGGCAGCCCCGGCCAATGCTCCGCAGTTGGTATGGCCCATCACGACGATGAGGCGGCTGCCTTGGGCTTTAGGATTTAGGGTTTAGGGGTTTAGGCATTTGGGGGTTTAGGTTTTATAGGGTTAAGTTCGGGTTCAGGGTTTGGTGGTCCAGGGAATACAAACAAAGCAGCAGATATACGGTTAATGCTATAAATCCTGCATTACCTTAATGACCCAGATTGGGAGTTATGGTATATTCCTTATTATGGGTAATGCAGGGTTGATATCATGAACCGTAAGGGCTTAGGTTTAGCTTGGGGTTTAGGATTCAGGATTTCGGGTTTAGGGTTTAGGCGGTTTAGGGTTTAGGGGACGTAAACATCTACCACCATGACCATAACGGTAGTCTAGGGCATTCTAGGAGCAACAAGAGAGGCAGCAGCAACAGCAACAGCAACAGAAGCAGCAGCAGCAGCAGAAGAAAGGCCAATAACTGTTAAAATGCTGTGAAAACCGCCAGCAAGCAGGAGCCGAAGAAAGAAAGAACGATAGAAACAGAGAACAACGCGCAAACAAGGAAACAGAGAAGAAACAAGACACGACTGCATGAAACTATAAGCAACCAACCTGGCCCCGCAAAACTTCTTGCGCCCAGTTTAGGGTTTAGGGTTGAGGGTTTAGAGACCCCAAACCCTAAACCCTAGAAAAAAGAGTGGCTCAACGCTCTGACTCTTCTCTCTTGGGCAACCCCCTTATGAAACCCTAACGCCTCTAGACACTTTCGAATCTATGGGCTTGCTATGATGAGCCGATCAAGCCCTACAAGTACCAACCTTAAACCCTCAACTCTCTCTCAATCCGAATCTTATGAGCCCTAAAATCTCAAGCTCGATCCAAAACTTAAACCCCAAACCTAAACCCTAAACCTAAACCTCAAACCTACACCCTAAACCCTAAACCCTAAACCCCAAACCAAAACCCCCATACACCCTGAAACCCCCAAATTCCGGGGAGTCTCCGAAAAAAACCTCCGAGTGCCAGGCCAAGCTTGCCAACGCAGAACTCCAGGCTGCCCAGGAAGCTTCCTGTCACAAAGGGCTCCTTTAAAGGAACCTTAAGGACTCCTTTAAAGGAACCTTAAGGGTTCCTTTAAAGGAACTTTAAGGGCTCCTTTAAAGGAACCTTAAGGGTTCCTTTAAAGGAACTTTAAGGGCTCCTTTAAAGGAACCTTAAGGGATCCTTTAAAGGAACTTTAAGGGCTCCTTTAAAGGAACCTTAAGGGATCCTATAAAGGAGCTTTAGACGGTTCTTATAAGGGATCTAAGGATACTTTAGCCCAGAAGGCTTCCTGCGGTTGATGATCGAAATCCTGCACTACCCATAATAAGGAATATTAATATACCATAATTCCAAAGAGTTTAGGGTCCTTAAGGTAATGCAGGATTTCTATCATCAACCCTGTCACGAAGGGGTTTGGGTTTTGAGGGTTCCTATGAAGGAACTTTAAGGGCTCCTTGACAGGAACTTTAAAGGATCCTACAAGGGATCTAAGGATACTTTAGCCCAGGAAGCTTCCTGTCCAGAAGAGTTTGGGGGTTGAAGGTTTGTGGCCTACTTGGAGGTTCATGGGTAGTTATAAGTGCGGTTATAAGTCCCCTAATATGGGACATAAGTATAGCTACCCTACTTAACCCCACTTAAGACTACCCATGAACCTCCAAGTAGGGTTTGGGGTTTGGGGTCAAGGGCCTTGACAGGATGCTTCAAGGGGAGACTTCCTGTCCAGAAAAGTTTAGGGCCTTCTAACAGTACAAGTAGTGGTAATAGTCGTAGTCGTAGTCGTAGTCGTAGTCGTCGTCGTAGTAGTAGTAGTAGTAATAAGGGTTCTGGGAAGTACGTAAGGATTCGACAACAAGTTGTTCGACGAGTTGTTAAATGGCTGTCGTATAGCGGCCTCAATATTCTTAGGGTCCCCATTGACTGTGAAAGGGATCTACAAACAAGGGTTACTTTAGGCATCTAGTATAGGGGCATCAGTACTCAGAACGGAGTTTGAGGTAGAATGTATCATAGCTTATTGGAAAACCCTCAAGAATAGTATTGATAACTACTCATCAAAATAGTATTGATAACATCTCAGGCCCATACATTAGGGGGATTAGCGTATATAGGGGTCAAAAGAAGGCAATTCCTCTCAAAAGGTTCGAAAAGGTTTAGGGTTTAGGGTGCAACAAGGGTTCAGGCTTGAAGAAAAGGGGCTCAGTGATTTTGTGCGTCGGGTGTACGGTATGGCCCTCAACCCTAAACCCTGAGCTGCAGCTGAAGGTTAGCAGGTTCATCCTCTCTAGGTCTTCCCGTGTGGTACCAACACCAGGGCACTGTAGGGCTCTTGATGCCAGCAAAGAAAGGTGTAGTGTCGGCTTTGGGATTGGGAGTTGAGGCTTCAGGGTTTAGCATTAACCGGGGCAAAGGGTTTAGGGTTGAGGGTTAAGAATAAATGGCTCCATTTGGTGGCCGGTAACTCGCACGCCGGAGCCACCGACCTCACATCACCCCACCACGCCCCAAATTCAAACCCCAAAACCTTCAACCCTAAAGCCCTAAACCCTCAAAAGCCATGTAAAAGGACGTCATGATACCTAATGACAGTATGACTAGAAGACACCTATATACACCATATACAGCCGAAAAAGACCCTGCACAACCATTATAATGCCAATATCAGCACCGCATGAAGCCCCTATCAAACCCTTTTGCAAAACTGAATCTCAGGCCCGCCTTCGGCATGTGTGCATGTGTTGCCGGCATTTCGCAACACAAACCTCGTCAGTGGGAAGTTGGGTTTCGGGCTTTGCATTTAAGAGTTGAAGCTTCAGGGTTGAGGAACTCTTGCGGACGGGGCGGGTGCGACTTTATAAGGGATGTCTAGAAGGGTCTATGACTATGAAGGATTTACGCGGTGTTTCGGCCTTTCAGGGTTCACGACTTCGAGGGGTTCGTGTTCGGGCTTAGGGTTTGGATTCTAAGGGTTTAGGGTTTAGGGTTTAGGGTTTAGGGTGGAGGATTAAGGGTTAAGGGTTAAGGGTTTAGGGTTTAGGGTTTTGGGTTAAGGGTTTATTGGGTCGAATGCTTTGGGGTCTGGCCTAGGGCACGGCCTGAGAGCATGCAGAATCATCGGTCCTGTCCTCGCTGCCGTCTTCATCATCACAAGTGCCACCATGCCCATGCAAGGAATGTGCTCTGAAACCCCGAAACCCACCAACATATCATGAAAACCCCAGTAAGGCACCGAAACCCACCCCAAAGCCAGCTATCCTTTGAGACAAAAGGTAAACCCTTATAGAAAACTTATAGTAACCCTTAGAGTATCCCTAAACCTCCCTTAAGCCCAGCTATTCTTTGAGGTCCAGGAGCAGGTCTCCGGGGGCCGCGTCAAAGAGCGTCTCCACGGGGGCTCGCGAGTCAGCACCTTGTTCGTAGCTGGGTCACAAGAGTTGCCGTTATAGTGTACGAGGGTTTAGGGTATGTAAGGGATTAGGGTTTATAGGGGTTGGGGTTTTGGGCTATACTATAGAGTTATAATAAGGAACCCTAAGGAATAATATTGGTCATTGTTGGAGCTTCTATATCAAGGTGATTTATACTAGGCGTGGATTTCACTCCATGTCAAACCATAAGGGAAATTAGCAACTATCATCTGGTAGATTACGTAAGATCTTGACCAAGGCTCTTGAAGGCTTATGTAACTTTGGACCCAGAGGCATCTCCCCCAAAGTAGCAAGGATACCCTAAACCCTAAGCCCAAAAACCCCTATAGTAAGATAGGCAAGGGGCAGCCAATGATGGCGGCATGTGGAGCTTGGCCCTTGTCCACCAAGGCCTTCCGCATGTCCTCATCCCGTAGTCTACGGTTTAAGAGTTTTTGGGGTTTAAGGGATTGATCCTAATCTGTTCGGAATCTTCGGTCGGGTCAGAAATCTCCTCGGCACCTGCACAACAAAAACAACGATAAGCGCAGGAATGGAAGCATTTGGGTGTGGTGTGTATCTACCTAATACAGGGGCCTTAATGGTTTGATAGGGTCCCGAATGATCTGAATAGGATTTCGGGGAGTACTATACTGTAGTTCAATACAAGGGCCCTCCGAAGTCGTATTGTTGAACAGTCAAGCTTCTACTTACTGTATGCTTCAACTCAAACCACTCTCAAGTCTGAACTATACCCCGAGAATGATCCGGTCCTGCGTAGCGGTCGGCGCCGTCGGTGTGCCTTCAGAAGTGGTTTCGCGGAATTACCAAAAAACGTGTGTATTTGGGTGTGTATATATATATATATATACATATATATATATATATACATACATACGTAAACATCTCAGGCAACTCCCAAATGTCGTCGGAGTGTTATTTTAGGATGTGGATTTGCATGTGCCAGCTTGTCGATTAAGGAGTGTCGGTGGCTTTAGCCGTCGTGGTTTTGGGCCTTAGAGCGGGAAGCCTCGGTTTTCGACGGACTCTAGGGTTTAGGGTTTTGGGTTTAGGGTTTAGGGGTTTAGGGGTTTAGGGTTTAGGGTTTTGGGTTTACGGGTTTAGGGTTTAGGGTTTAGGGTTTATGCCCTTCTTAAATTCCAGCTTCGCTCCAAATATCCCTAGAAGGAACACTTGACACCGCGGCCTAGCAGGAAACCCCTGTATGTGCCTGCAGGCATTGAGGATTTAGGGTTTTGGGGTTTTGAGGTTTGGCGTTTTATTCGGGCTCAGAGCGGTTTTGGAATCAGGATGGTCGCGCGCAGGGCTTAATAAGGCCTTCAGGGTTTCGGGCCTTTCAGGTTGTGAAGTGCACGGCCCGCATGGCTTCGGGGCCTCGGAGAAAGCAACGAATAAAGCCCTCTCCAATATAGGTAGTACCCGGAGCAAAGATATCTGGGTTGCGCTTATTACCTAAACCCTAAACCCTAAACCCTAGGGCGCTAGGATTGAATCTTGCACCCAGGCGCTGAGCAGCCCAAACTCTCAACCCCGGCTGCAGTGGACAGGCAAGCAATACCGCCCTCAGAGATATACACACCTATACTTATACATATATATATATATATAGATGTAGATGTAGATGTAGATATAGATATAGATATAGATGTATATATATATATATATATACCTGTGCTTGTACTTACAATACCAACACTCACAACACAGTTCTAACTATGATAACAACAAGAGAAACGAAGAACGATTGTATCTACATACATATAAATATATACACACACATACACCCACTGTAAACTAAGGCCTGCGTATTAACGAGGGATCAACCCAGAGACTTCAAGATCCCTTAATTAGGGATATAATTTAGAGTCACTACTATGGTTTAAGGTATATTCCTTCATTCAGGGATATTGGAGTCTCCGAGTACCCTAAACCCTAAACCCCATAGATCCCTTAGGGAAGTTGGAGTCTCTGGGGATCTTCCGAGCGCCTGCCACGTAGCGCCTGTTGCCGCTCTTGAGGTATTCCAGCGCCTGGCCGATCCCTTAATTGTCTGGTTCTTAGTAGTTTAAGGGCTACTATAAGGGTTACTACAAGGGTTACTATAAGTAAAGGCTATTATAAGGGTTATATTATAGGGATTTAGGGTTCTTAGTAGAATGTCTGGTTCTTTGTAGGGAATGGGGAAATGGATTCTGGAGAATATATTGGGATGGTATAGGACTACTATACGGATCCGTTCCCCCGTTCCCTACTTAAGCACCAGACAGTAAAGGACAGTAAAGAAACCCTAAAAGGAATCCTTCTAGATCGCCTTAAAGGAACCCTATAGATCCCTTAAAGGAACCCTTATAGATCGCTTTACAGCAACGCGATAGATCCCTTAAAGGAACCCTTAAGAAGGATCCGGGTGCCTTTTGGGTCTGGCAATGAAGAGCTTTAGGGATCAGGGCTTAGGGCTAAGGTTTAGGGCTTTGTTTTTTTAGTTTTAAAGTGTGTCGGACTTTCTCCCGCAGCGTGCGGTGTCAAGCCCACCCGGTGGGACTGAGTCACGAATAATGTTTACTCGGTGACTGAAAAGTAAATCCGCATGGCTCTGCAGAATACAAATCACTCTTTCAGAACACTACAAGTCACGAAAGTGTCTCCTGTCATCACGACTTCTGCTACGCTCACGTTCACCGGTGGGTTTAGGGCTTGGGGTTCAGGGCTTAGGGGTTAAGGCTTAGGGTTTATGGTCTAGGGCATAGCATACAGTTATAATACCGATCCATAAGGAATTGTATTGAAAACTACATAGGCTTCTATGCTAAGGTGACTATAGGGGGTGTCGATGTCAACCGTCCTCAAAAGTCTTTATGATTAGTGGTCTGTGTCAAACAATACGGGAACATTAATTTGCCCCAAATCGATACCTAGCTTCGTACTGACATTCATAATCGTGAAGCTACAGACAGCAGATTTTACAGACAGCAGACATGTAAGAACTGAGCCGACCTATCAGGGATCCCAGCTATTGTACGTGATAATGTCGGTTGATGGACCTAAACACGGCGGTGAAGACAGGTATGAACCAGGTTAACCGTGTTCAACCCTAAGCCAGGTTTCAAGTGGACGTGCTCGATGGCGCGATTGGGGTCGAGGTCGCCATCTCGCTATCTTCAGAAATCACAACCGCCGTCATCATTAACGCCATCGTTATCATCTTCACAACCATCAAGATATCTTCACTCTGCTTCATCTCCATCTTCATCTCATCTGTCGTCACCTTACTCGCAGTGTCTCTCTTGCCGCTGCTGATGATATATGTCGAGCTCCTGCCTTCTGCGGGGCCACCGCTGCATCTGCAGCCGTGCGAACCGTGGCCGGCACGGCCTCCTGGTCAACATTTGTGGATGAGGGATCTTCTGGATGCCAACCGTAACTGTAGCATTAATCAATATAGTAGAGTTATGGTATTATAATATTACTACAGCATAGTTACGGTATTACTGTATTATGATATGGATGTTAACCAAAGTCCGGAAGCATTAGCGTGGATCAGGATGTCTTGGCTTTAGGGCTACACGGGCTTCACTGACTAGCCTTCGGGGGTGTGAAAGCCTTCATAGCAGAACTGTTGCGAACAAGCTGGTTTAGGTGTCAGACTTGGTGTGCTAGGTGTTGCTGTGTTTGTTTGAGAGTCGGAGATCAGATCTAGGTCCTTTAGAAGGAACGCCCATGCCCAAGGACAGAATTCCGGTGCGGGCTTCCCTCACGACACCTTCGGGCTTTCACCAACTAAGCAAAGCAGACTGGTCCAATTCCATAGGGTGTAAAGCTTCTGTTAAAGTTTACAATTCAGAGCAGCTTGTTTTTGCAGCAGGTGGCTACGTCAGCCGAGTGGCACTCCTGGAGGCTGTATACTTTACATCTGTATTGTATGTCATGGTATATGACCGTATATGACCGAAAATATCTTTTCATAGTATGCCATTAGTATGTTAGAGTAAAGTTACAGCTTAGTTATAGTACGATCGTAAACTTCAGGGTCCCTGAGAGAGTGGCCTACCGTAAGCGGTCATTGCTTCTGTCCCTTCTGAGAATACCAAGAAGTTGTGTGTCTTTTGTAGTTCAGGGCTACAATCTCCCAAAATGAGACTAATAACGTGGATGGTCAAAAAGAGAATAGTAATGACAATGGTAATGACAACAGTTATGACCATCATAATACAAGTAGTAATAATTAAACATGTAGTGATGCGAACAATACATATAATGGTCATGCCTAAGCCCACCCTCCCTCGAAACCGCCAACACATGGCCGGGTTTCTTCCCGGTCAAAAACATGTTTACCTGCAAACCTCGTAGGGAATTACTGTGAAATCCATAAAAACCGGATTAAGTCCAAATAGAGCTGGGATTCCCTATACATTACTCTTAAGGATTGAGGCTATTGGGTTTCCAACTTTTGGGCTTCTACTGTAGGTTGCAAAGCGCGCCAAAGTCCAAGCAGGGAACACCGGGCTGCAACAACGTCTCAGGCAAATCCAACACAAACCCTGTAAACATAGGCTTCATGGCTTTGAGAGGGCATTTAGTTCGGAGCCAATACAAGCCCTTGTAAATCTTTGGAACACCCGGATTCAGCTCAGGGATGAGGACCCCTAAACCCTGAACTCCCTGAAGACCCTGAACACCGCGGCCGCATCCCCAATCTCTGAATATTGAATTCAAGGGGCCCTATTAAACCCCTGCTGCCCGAAATCTTGCATCCCCAAACCCATTACTACCCAAACCCTAGACCCTCAACCCTAAACCCGGAACCCTGCAAAACGCAAAAACCTAAACACCCTAAACCGAGTGCCTTGGGAGCGAACAGCGAAGGCGGCACGGAAGCAACGCTTCCTGCGACCAAGGCCTTTTGATCCGGCGAGGGTCCAAGGAACTCGACCTTGCCTGCCAGTGTTTAATTTGGGGTTGAGGGTTTAGGGTTTAAGCACCTAAGTGTAGAAATCCTAATTTCCCTACAATCTCTGGTTTGGTTTGGGGTTGAGGGTTTCGGGACTAGCTGTTAGGACTGTTAGGATTTGGGGCTTTAGGGTTTAGGAAGTAGGGTTAAGGATTTTGGGTTTTTGAGGTTTTAGGGTTCAGGGTCTAGGGCTTAGAGTGTAGGCCTCAGGGTTCAAGGTTCAGGGTTAAGGCTTTAGGGTTTGGTAGAATTTAGGGTGTGTGGTGATGGGTCAGGGCTTGTTTTTTGTGTTACTTGGTCCTTACTGGTGCAGTGATGAAGGGTTCAGGACCATAGTTTTCGAAGGACAGTTTCGCAGCATCCAGGGAGTAGGGCCGGAGGGCTACTAAGAAGTCAGGGAGTTGCTGTTTCGGGTTCAGGCTCAAGGATGGGGTCCTGCAAGAGCGGCGTCGCTTGCAATCGTCACACGCGTTCATGCGATAATGCCTGTTGAGGCAAGTGGATGGCAAGTTTTCGAGAAGCAGGGCAACGTGGCAACAGGTGCTGGCACGAAGTCGTGAACTGCATGACTGTCATTGCCTTTGTCGGGGAGCGTTTCGGGACACGATCTGCCACTGGAAAAACCCACCACCCGAACCACGGCAGGGCAAGGGAGGCGAGTCGAGTGTGTCGCTGTCATATGCCTGACAGCCGAGGGTTCTGTACTGTACAGCGGGGACCCGCACCAAAGCGAAGGAACCACACCACAGGCAGGGGACATACCACAGGTGCAGGGACGCCACCTGCAAAAGCAAAAGATCACCAGCACCACTAGAGCAGCAACAATCACAGCAAGTGTGACTCATTTGCAACCGTACCTATGTCAACTCCCATCGGATAAAACCGACCCACACAAGGACAGTGCCCCTAAGATGATCGCCGGCGACTGTAAAGGGACTCTCTTCAACTCAAGAACTCTGCCAAACCCTAAGAGCTGCCCTAAGCCTTAATCTTTCATCCCTTAGCCCTATATGGATGGTTGCCAAAATTATGGTCCCTTTTGGGGTCCCTGATATAGTACGGCACCTAATATTTAGGGTACCCAAAAAGGGACCCTAATGGGGACAACTACCCATATAAACCCTGGGCCCTAATCCCTCGAACCCAACTGTCTGGCTGGCCTGTCTCCAGCTGATAGATACCGCCATGGATCTCCAACTTGCCACTCTGAACCTGCTGGCGGAGGCTCTTGCTGTACCTGAGGCAAAAGTCTTGGTGTTTTGGGTTTTAGGTTTAGGGTTTTGGGGTTTTAGGGTTCAGGGTTTGGCTTTTGGTTTTAGGTCTACGGTTTAGGGTTTCGAGCGTGTAGTTTTGACTGCTTATGCCATAGGCAACTTATGCTCCCGTTTGACTCCTGATCCATCAGTCCGCTAGGTTTTGGTGCTTAGGGTTTAGGGGCTCTGGTTTTGGGGGTTTAGGGACCCAGTCCATTCTAATTTAAACATGCATCATGCAGGGGGCCTTGAAGCCCGAGGATAGGTTAGGTGCAGAACTGTAGAACCATTATTTTGGCAGCTTTCTGAATTCACTCTAGACCCTACCTAAACCGCAAAAACTCGTGGAACCCAAGAAGCCGAACAAAGCAAACCCCCAGCCTTCAACCCTAATATAGGGACCTTAAAAAGTAGAATAGTGTTTTGGGGAAGACTATACTACAATTACCATAAGGAACCCCCAGAATAGCATTGCTAATTATTTAGGCCCCTAGGTTAAGCCCTCAACTCCTCAACCCTAAACCCTAAACCCTAAACCCTAAACCCTAAACCCTCAACTCCTCAACCCTGGGTTCCTGGGGAAAAGAGTGCAGAGCCCCGGAGCCCCTGAACTCCAAGGGTTAAAGGAGGGACCCTGAATAAGGACCCCTAGGCATATACCCTTAATATAGCTATTATATACCCATTATATAGCCCATTTTAGGGTAAGGGACCCTAAAATGGGCTATATAATGGGTGTATAATAGCTATATTAAGGGTATATACCTACCTGGACCCTAAGGAACCTACCTTTTTAGGGACTTATATAAAGAAATCTTATTAGGGGGCCCTAAAAAGGTAGGTTCCTGAGGGTCCAGGTAGGTATATACCCTTAATATAGCTACTATAGACCCATTATATAGCCCATTTTAGGGTAGGGGTCCCCAATAAGGGTCCCTCCTTTTCCCCTTTGATGAACCCGCCCCCTTCAACCCTAAGCCCTGAGCTTTTGTTGATACGCTGGTGTCTTCATTCGAGGGTTTTTGTGGTCTGGAAGTTTCGGATTTACGGTGCAAGTTTTCGGTTTAGGGCTGGCGAGCTGCAGCTTTAGGAAATAAAGGTTACGGTGTAGCTTTAGAGAGTGGCCAAGCAGGCAGGATATAGAAAAATTACATTTACGGCTTGTAGCAGACACCAATGTTGAGGTATGCATCACCTTCCTTGGCTGGGAAGTTCGCACAGAGTGGCGTTGAGGGTTAGGGCGGTCGGCTTTCGGAGAACTGTAAGAATAACAACCATAATCATGGTAACAAATACTGAGAACTGCAATAATACCAATAGTGAATGGTATCAGTACAAACCTAAGGGGCACAGATGAAATACGAGCCTTATTGTGGTTGAAGCGGGAGTTGCTTGCCCTCATGTAGGGGCCGTAATAGTTAGAACAAGGCTTGGGGGTTATATTAGACTATATATTACAGGACTGCAAGGGAAAAACATTAAGAACCTACGGTATTACATGATTGGCCTCAATAAAAGAATTGTGTGCTGTACCAAACGGTAATAATATTTTAGGGTCATGACGGGAATAATATTAAGATTACGAATGTTATACTAAGCCCCGGAACCCCAAACCCCCGGGTACTTCAGCAGGAAGTTGATGGTGTGGAAGACGTTCACCTTCACGGCATGGGCTGCCACCTGCAGAAGCCGGAACTAGGTACAGCATGTACAGCCGATGGCTGATGCTGATGGACAAACCCTGCAATGTCCCCAATCAAGAGGAATCCGCGAATCCAATGATTCAATGTACCTCAGGCAAAGCACGATAATGCAGGATTTTGTCCACCATCAAAACCCCTTAACAAGCCTTGTGACAGGAGCCTGCATGTAGCTTGTGCTTAACTCGCAAGCCCTACACATCCTAATCCCTAAAACGTTTCGGCATCTGTGGCCAAATTTATGGGCTTTAATTATTGGAGCCTAAAACCCTGTTCATCCCGATCCTTACACCCTTGCAGCCCCCAGTCCCAGGAGCACTGGCCGCAAAACAACAGTAAGCTCCAGCACGCGCCACCGAAAACGCCAACGTCCTAAACCCTCCGAATGTCTGAACCTGAAAATCAAGACCTGCACCCTCTGAATCTTGATATTTATAAAGCCCTTGTAGAACCCGTACTGAACCCTAAAGACAAGCCCTTAAAGGAGGACCTAAAGCCCCGAAGCCCCTTGAAAATCAACACCTTCAAACCATAAAGCCGATGTTCTAAACTCTGAATCCTGTACCCGAAACCCTAAAGCCCTAGAGTTTAGGGTTTAGGGTTTAGGGTTTAGGGTTTAGGGTTTAGGGTTAAAGACCTGAAGCCTAAAGCAGAAATAACGCCGTAAACACCCCGAAAGCCCTGAGGCCCTAATCCCGGAGCCCTAAGCCATAGACAGATCCTAACCATAAAACTACATGCCGGGTAAGAAATAAAGTTTCGTCGCATCCGCTAGAGACACCAAACGGAGTATGGAGCACAGGGCGTGAAGAATACCCTAGCCTGGCTAGCAGAGGAATTATCATCCCGGAATGAAATTAGAGTACTACTGTTGATGATATAAATCCTGCATTACCTTAAGGACCCTAAACTATGGGAATTATGGTATATTCCTTATTATGGGTCATGCAGGATTTATATCATCAACCGTATGACTAGAATTGTTCCGGGCGGAGGACTGGTGGAGGAGTCTACTGTTGCAGGGTGACACGGTGACACCGAGTGCAACTTTGGGACCGGTGTAGTAGACACCCTAAAACAGGTGTAGGGCATGACCCTCTACTTGGAGGTTCATGGGTAGTTATAAGTGGGGTTACAAGTCCCCTAACATGGGTTCTAAGTATAGTTACCCTACTTATAGCCCTACTTATAACTACCCATGAACCTCCAAGTAGGTAGGTCCACAGGCCCAAATAGAAGCCTTCTAGGAACCCGGACAGAAGCCCTAAAGAGGCCTTAGAACACCCTTGTTGGGCCTCATTGTAAAAGCCGGCTAGAAGCCTTTTACAAGCGCAAATAGACACCCTAAGCCCTACCTTGGAATGACTCACGAGCCCTAAACCCTAAACCATTACGAAACCCCAAACCCTAAACCGCCTAAGCTCTAAACCCCAAACCGCCTAAACCCTAAACCGCCTACACCCGGCTAAACCCTAAACCGCCTAAACCCCAAACCGCCTAAAACCCGAACCGCCGAAAACCTAAACCGCCTAATCCGAGAGCTGCGCCTTGTCGTACTCGGCCGATGGCCCCAACTCGCCAGCAGCCATCTCCTGAGTCTGGTCTGGACATTTTTTTTGCTGGCTTAGGGCTTCAACTTTGGGGTTTACGGCTTAAGGTTTTTGGCTTGGGGCTTAGGATTTAGAGTTTAGGGCTTAGGGTTTTGGGCTCAGGGATTAGGGTTTGGGCAGTTTCGGATCTGGCCTTTAGGGCTTCGGGGTTTAGGATTTGGGGTTTAGGGGCTTAGGGTTTAGGACTTAGGGTTTAGGGTTTAGGGATTAGGGGTTCAGGGCTTAGGGTTTAGGGGTTTAGGGGTTTGGGGTTTAGGATCTAGGGATTAGGGGTTTAGGGGTTTAGGGGTTAGGGACTAGGGTTTAGGACTTAGGGGTTTAGGGGTTAGGGTTTAGTGGCGTAGGGGTTTAGGGGTTTAGGGGTTAGGGACTAGGGCTTAGGGGTTTAGGGGTTTAGGGGTTTAGGGCTTAGGGTTTAGGGGTTTAAAGGGGTTTAGGGTTTAGGGGCTTAAGGGGTTTAGGGCTTAGGGTTTAGGGGTTTAAAGGGCTTAGGGTTTAGGGTTGAGGGTTTAGGGATTAGGGTTTAGGATTTAGGGTTTAGGGATTAGGGATTAGGGGTTAGGGTTTAGGTTTGGGGGTACCGTGTGATTATCTAAGGGCTGCGCGGGTATAGCCGTCCCACCTCTTCAGACAGCTATAATGCGCTTTAAGCTGCGCGGGTGTGAGGATTTCAGGTTTCAGGGACGTGCTCGCCGTCCCATTGCCACCGATTTTTGCATCCACACCCTGCCACCACAAATTGTCGATCGGATAGCCGCGCAAAGAGAAGATCAGGTCGGCAGGGATGAAGGGTTAAGGTTTAGGGTTTAAGGTTTAGGGTTTCTTTTTATGTAATCTGGTGATCGTCGGCACGACACCAAATGACGGATCCCGGACAAAGTCCGCCAAGCCCCTCTTCTTCGCCCCCGCGGCATCGACCTGGGCCTTCATCCATGGGGTCGCGTGCTCCAGGCTGTCGTGGAGATGGCTGGGGCGATCTTTATTAAAGCTATGATCGTCCTTGTCCTGGACTATAGAAGTTAAGGGCTTTGGATTGAGGCCTCAATGCTGTCGGCTCTCGACTCCAACCAACCCCTGGCCCCAAACACTAAACCCTCCCTAAAATCCCTAAAACTTATGGACCTACAGTTTTGGGCTTTATGGAGAGGGATCCGGCGAGGAGTGAGGGCTCCTAGAAGGGCTGCTTATTTTCTCGCAGACTTCAGGAGAGCCTTTGCACAGGCGTTGGTAGTTGAGTGTTGAGAGTTGATGGCTTTGCATTGGCATGGATAAAGGGCGTGTGGGTTCTTCACATCTCAAGCCAAACTAGCATGCCGATCCCCCAGCACCTTTAGCCTGGACTGCTCTGCCGAATCAACAAAACCCCAGGCCGACGAGAACTCCATAGAACCCTCCTAAACCCTTAACCCGACGTTCTAGGCTAATTATCCAAGATTCAGACATGGAGGTCAGGAAGTAAGCCTGCCCTGTTTAAGTGCGCTCGACATAGAACCGCTGAAACTGTATCACACTAGATCATACTACATTGTGTTATATGCTGTAATACTACATACGATTCTGCCATGTTCTGTTCTCTTCCTGTTGAATTCTATTATATGATACATTGTTCGCTGTTCTCCTGTGTTCGGTTCTATTATCTTCTGTTACATTCTGTTCTATACTGTTATATTCTATTCTACTCTCTTCTGTTCTATCGAAATAGACTACATTCTGCTACGTCATGTTAGATTCCATTATCATAGAATATACTGGATTATTATAGTCCGCTTCAGACTGGAGGCCTTGCTTACGGTTTCGGGTTTAGAGTTTAAGGGTTAGGGGCATTTTGGCTTTCGGGTAGAACAGACAGCGCGTTGCCAACAAAGAGTGACCGTCTTCAAGGACAGGCTGCAAAGACCCTAAGCCGTAAAGGCTAACACTAGACCCTAAACCCTAAACCTGGAACCAGAGCCCTTAACCCTGAACCCTAAGCCGTGATAAAAATTTTCGTGCGCAGCATCAGAAAAAAGTCCGAGCGGCAGCCACGGAGCCAAGATCGTGCAGCAGACCTGCGATTGATGACTAGAAGATAGGGCTCCGGGTTTGGGGTTTAGTCGGTTTAGTGGGGCTTAGGGTTTCGGGTTAAGTAGGATTTAGGGTTCAGGGTTACATAGGGTTTAGGGAGGCCTAAACCCTAAACCCTAAAGTTTATCTAAGCCAGCTCCAGGCGCCACAGCGACGTCTTCAGATGCCCCAGGCAGGTCACGGTGCGACTACTTTATGCTAGCGCCATGAACTTGGAGGTTCATGGGTAGTTATAAGTGGGGTTATCAGTCCCCTAATAGGAGTTATAGCTATAGTTGTCCTACTTATAACCCTACTTATAACTACCCATGAACCTCCAAGAACGAACGCCGTGCTTACGATTGTTCTCTTTAGTACTACTAGTGGCATTGCATTCAAGACCCTTGACCCAAAGCCTGACTCCTAAATCCAACCCCCAAGTCTTGCAAGGCGGAAACCAGCGCTACAAGGATTCCATAACAAGAAGTCTGATATACGGCAAACAACAACTAACATAGCATCAGCAATGTCAACTAATCAATCCTACATTTAACGAACAAACAAACAAACAATCAACAACGATGAACCGAAGGATAAATGCAAGAAATCGGTACACACACATATACATGCATACATGTATATGTGTGTGTATATATATATATACATATATATATAGATAGATATGTATATAGATAGTAGATGTGTTCGTTTCAGACCTTTTCATCTGTATGTGGGTATACATACATATATATATATATACACACATACATACATACATACATATGTATGTATAGATAGACAGATAGGTAGATAGATAGATAGCCATGTAGATAGATAGATAGACGGTCACCTACTTTCTGTCGTGCGTTTAATGTGTATGTGTGTATATATATATATATATATATATATACACACATATGTGCATATATATATATATATATATGCGCGTGTGTGTTTTTATCCACAACTATTTATACATCCGTACACACCTACATACATACATACATACATACATACATATATACATACATACATACATAACCCGCCCTAATACCCAAACGAGAACAGCTAAAGCCCTACACCTTACCTGTTTCGAGGCACATGAGCAAAAAAATACAATATCGCCCTTCGGCCCCTGTAGAATTTCCAAAATCCCCAAACCGAAAAACACCTACACTCCTCAAACCTAAAACCGTAAAACCTACACCATGACCCTAACCCTGTACAGAACTCTTTGACTCTTAGAGGTACCCTTACGGCAACCCTTCAGGGATCCTCACAGGGACCCTTGGAGGGACGCTATTCGTATTGAAAAACCCTAAACCCTATAACTTGGGTACGGCCCCCATACAGTAAGAGTCTATAGTAGAGCTACTATTAAGGTCCTACTAGACCCATATTATGAATATTATTCAACTATTACTGAGTGGGGGCCGTACCTAACCTATAACCCTAAACCCCTAACTCCTTAACCCTAATCCTAAGCTTAAACCTTAAATTCCTAAACCTAGACCCTGAACCGAATTCCTAAACATAGGGGGCGGAGGCTACTCCGAATCACATCCGACAAGGGAGCTCATCCTAAACTCCAAACCCCAAAACCCGTAATTGCCAAACCCTAATTAATTGCCATACCCTAATTCCCAAACCCTAAACCCTAAAAATCACAAAAACCCTAGATCCCAACAACACCAAAAAACCATAAATCCAAAAAATCCAAAAAAAAACAAACAAAATCAAAAAAACACCCAAAATGCCAAAAAAAACAACCAAAATCCTAAAAACACCAAAAAATACCAAAATCACCAAAAATACCAAAAACCCCAAAACACCAGAAATCCCAAAACCCTAAGCCCACCTTCCAGAGCGGAGCCCGAGGATTTGCCAGGGCCCAGCTTAGCGTCGAAGTAGCCCTGGGCTTGGGGCTTTACAAGCGTTCCTTTAAAGGGGTCCCGCGGGCTCCTTGAAAGGGATCCATACGGGCTCCTTTGAAGGGGATCTGCAAGGGCTCCCTTAAAGGGGTCGAAAGAGGTTACCATAAGGGTTCCTTTAAAGAGATCCATAAGGAGGTCTTATCTATAAGGTATCCCTGGGTTTAGGGGTTTGGGGCTTTACAAGGGTTCCCCTAAAGGGGGATGCTAAGCGGCTCCTTTAAAGGGATCCTAAGGGCTCCGTTAACGGGGATCCTAAGGGCTCCTTTATAAAGGACTCTATATGGGTAGTACAGGGGCTTAGGGTTTAGGGATTGGGTTTGGGGCTTTACAAGTATTCCTTTAAACTTGGCTGACTTCTGAGCCCCTCCTACGAGTAGTTCATATGGTTTAACACGCGCAGGGTTTTTGCGTTTTTTTTTCAATTTGTTGGGCTTTACTAGGGTTTGGGATGGTGTAGGGCTTAGGGTACGGGTAGGCTTCCAGCTGGAGGTCGAAAGGCTGGGGATGTTGCACTTTGCTTCTGAAGGAAATAAGCTCAAATCCCCTTAGGAAGTCAGCAACAAAGCAACTTTTAGTTGGAATGGTGCCAGTGGTAGGGGTAGTCGTCGTCGTCGTCGTCGTAGTAGTAGTAGTAGTTGTTGTTGTTGCTGTTGTTGTTGTTGTAGCACCAGTGGCAGTAGCAGTAACAGGTAGCAGTTTCGTACTCGTCGCCGAAACAGTAGACCACGACCACTGCCACTGCCTCTACCACTACGACTCACTACGACTCTTCTTCTCCTACTACTACCACTAGTGCTAGTACTAGTGCTGGTGCTGGTGCTTGTGCTGCCTACTCCTACTATGACTGCATAATTCGACTACGACGACGACTACTGCTGCGGGCAGTATCACAATAACAATGTAGCAATACTGGCCCATATGAATAACAACAATTTCAACAGTGATGAAAATAATGGTACTAGTAATACTACTGGTATACTATATACTAAGAACAAGAATAATGACAACAATAACAGTAGGAACATCATTAAGACTATTCAGAACAAACAATATAATGGTTAACTAACAACATTCGGGACGATGAGGGAATAGCTTGACTGATGGACTTTAGGCTTTGAGGGTTAGGGAGAGCCGCCAAACGGCTTTGGTCACGTACTCCTACCTCAAGACAGGAAGGCCTCAGCTACGGTGGGAACTGCAAGGCAAGGAAAGGGCCCCAACACAAAACCCGAACAAGAGAAGCTTCGATTCCGGAGCCTTCGTGGCACCGTAGATGGCACCGCACTTGGTGTGTCCCAAGACCTTGCTGACAGGTTAAACCCTAAACCCTAAACCGCTTCGCGCAGTTTAGGGGCTTGCTTTCGCGGGTTTGGGATTCAAGGCCCGAACCTTTATGGGGCACCCTATACTTTAGAGCCTGTGGTAGCCTATAAAGGGGGATCTCATTATAGAAATTATAGATAACCTTAGTGGGATTGGGTTTGCGGCCTTTAGGCATGAGCCGGGAACAAAGCGTGTGGTTCGGAGTAAGTTTTCGGGTTTAGGGCTACTTGGAGGTTCATAGGTAGTTATAAGTGGGGTTATAAGTAGGGTAACCATAATTATGTCCCATATGAGGGGACTTATGACCCCACTTATAACCACCCATGAACCTGCAAGTAAGGTTCAGGGTTTAGGGCTAACTTAGTCGTCTCCGACACAGCCTGGAAACAGTGTATCAGCCCTTGCGAGATGCCTTCAGAGAGGAATGCAAAGGAATTCTGCAGGGATCGTGAAGTTCAATATCCCTTACTTAGCCTGAAAGTGCCCGATGTGGTTGAGTCCTGAAACAGATCCTTCATCTCAGTCACCTTCAACCCTATAATTAAATCCCAACGCTTCATCTAAGAAACCATGAACCCTTACCCTGTCACTAACCCCAAATGGGAGTTTCCGAAAATAGGAGACCCTCATATAGTACCCTAAACAGTAGGATCCTTATTGTAAGGCCCCAAAAATAAGGTACCCCCCCTAATGTTAGGAAACTCTGGAGCCCAAAATTGGTGTTCCGTAAGGGTTCCTTTAAAGGGATCTATAGGGGTTACCATAAGGGTTTTACCATAAGGGTTCCAAAAAAGAGATCCATAAGGAGATTCTGCAAGTGTATAGCCCGAAGCCCGAAAGGCGTTACCTGAAACCCAAGACTGTCAACACGGTAGATCACTTTTGTAACCCTTTGAGGTCTTAACACGCCCCTGTAGCACCCTAACCCAAACAAGTAACCCTAAGCTCCAAACCCTAAACCCTAAGCTCTAAACCGCCAAGCTGCGAGAATGAGTTTGGAGCCAAGTGCTCCCGTGGCGAACTCGAGGCTTCCGACGAAGCTGCCTGCCAGCGTTAGAGCTTAGGGTTAAGAGCCGAGGGCTTGGAGTTCATGGTGTGTTTTAAAGTTTAGTTACTTTAAAGTTTAGTTACGGTTTGATGAGCCTGTAAGGGGCCTTTTCCCCAACACACATCGTGTTGAGGATTGAAGCTCCTTACTCATTAGTAAGCTCCTTCTTCCTTGAGTCCTTGAGGTCAGATCACACTCAAGCCCGCCCCCCTTATGGCACGGGCTGCCAGGTGATATGAAAATCTGGCTCCCAGCGGCCCTCAAAGCCGCTTCGGCGAATGAGATGCCGCAGGTACTGCAACAACCAAGCGCTGTCCGAGCCGTCCTGCACAAGCCAGTGGCTCCCTCTGCCATACGGCGCCAGCTGCAAAACGTTGCGACCATGTTCGCGCTGCCACTGCATAAACAGACGGACTCCAAATTTTGCGGTATCTGGGCGGCATACACAGGATTCCGAAATCCCGAAGCGTAGGCTTCGTCTGTTTATATGATCTTTTCGGATTTGGGGTCGCCAAAGGTGGCTTCTGCGGTTGAGGGCACTTACGGTTTAGAGTTCAGGGTTTCATGTTTGGGGGTGTAGGACTTCGGGCTCTCTCATCTCAGGGTTTGGTGGTATTACCAAGGGTGAGAGGGCGTAGGATTTTGGTGCTTCTGCTCGGGTTAGGGACGTTGGGGTTGCTTAATTACCTGCTCAGTACTGGAACCCTCGGACTTTCAGGTCAACCTGCGAAGTTCATGTAGGGGCGATTAGGGGCTTAGGGCGTTCTGTTTAAGTTTAGAGCTTACTTGGAGGTTCATGGTTTGTTTTTAGCAGGTTTATACGTAGGGTAACAGTACTTATAACCCATATTAGCCGACGAATAACCCCACTTAGACCTGCCCATGAACCTCTAAGTAGTGTCTAGGTCTTAGGATTGGTTTTTGAGGCAGGGTAGAGTTTGCTAAACTGTCCGAATGAAAGATGAGCAGCTAACATCTACCTCAGAAGATAGCAACATTCAAATGCACAGGAAACAACGGGACTGCTACAGAACCCAATGAAAATATGAGACATGTCTTTGGTTCCGCAACTGTTGGTCATAGCAGTCATAGCATCTTCGTTGTTTGTGTAAGATGTAAGCAGTCGTGTGTTCTTGCTGCTTCTATGTTACTGCTGCGATAATACAATAAACAAACCCAAAGTGCCAACAGAAGCTCAACCTTGTCTACGCATGCTGTCAACAACACAAAAGGCAACAGTCAAGAAAGGGCCTCAACTCCCAAAAGCAACCCACCTTAACCATACACTCATCCCAAACACCAAAAGCGACATGAACCCCTAAACCCCTCAACCCTCACCCTAAACCCCTAATCCCCTAAACCCCTAAACCCTATCCCCCTACGCAACCCCTAAACCGTGAACCCGTAAACCCTAAACTCTAAACCCCGAAATTCTACACTCTTACTGGGCCTTCGGCATGGGTGCAGGTGTTCCCGGCATTTCGGAGGACGAAGATGTCCCCGGGCATGGCATCAAAAATCTGCGGGCTCAGAGTGAGAGGAAGGCAGGGACTGTGTAATGTGGGGCCCCTTCCCAGAAACTCCAATGTCCCTCAATTAAGGAATATGTATATATGTATATATATATATGTATATTTACATATATATATATATATATATACACCTTAAATTGTACTAGGATCCCAATTGTACTAGGATCCCTAATATGATTTAAGGTTTATTCTTTAATTAAGGGATATTGGAGTCTCTGGGTTTATTAAAGTAGAGCCAGAAAGTTGGAACAGCAATATCCTCCTGCCCTCCAGGTAAGGCGGAGGGGATCTCGGCACTAATCATCCTAAATCCAAGTTCCAACTTTCTGGGGTTCACCATATTACTAGAACAGGATTTTGAGTGAGATTCTGCTGCAATTGTACTAGGGGATAATATGACTGATTACTATATCCAAGTTCCAACTTTCTGGGGTTCACCATATTACTAGAACAGGATTTTGAGTGAGATTCTGCTGCAATTGTACTAGGGGATAATATGACTGATTACTATTTAAGCCCGAATAGCATGCTTGAACTTTAAGGTTTTTACATCAGAGGCTTCAGGAAACCCCAAACCCCTAGCCCCAATAAGGGCTCAGGGTTGCACGGTAGAGTTTGTAACAAGGTGGGGAGAGTTCTTGAAGGGAGTATGAGTATGTAAGGATTCTAGGGACCCAAAAAAGCACCTAAACAAACACCCATAAGGTTGGGATATGCCATAATTAACCCTGTCTTAAACGAAGCAGTAAGGTAGGGATATCCCACCCCAAAGTTTAGGTTTGGGTGCTTTTTGGGCTCCTAAGATTCTACAATGGGGGTTTGGATGAGGTTTCAGAGAGTTTCAGCATAGGGCCTTGAGAATTGGAATGGGGTACCCTTTCAAGGTTTCCTTTAAGGGGTTCCCTTAAGGGCTCCGACAGGGATTCTATGACATGATTTCGGGCGACGGTGCATCATACTAATATCGAATAATTCATTGGAACCCTGAACAACATAGAGTTGGTAATTCTTCAAGCTTCAATAATTGAAAAGAATTTCTGTTCGTCACGGAGCTCGATCTGGTGCCTGCCAGGTCTAGCGATCTAGGGTAGCCCCGAATACCACCAACCCTAAACCCTAAACCCTCAACCCCTACACCCTAAACACTCCGCATCTCCAAGGCGCCATGCACGGTCAGGCCCCAACTTCCAAATGTGAAACACGCAGCCAAACGCAGGTGGAGCTTTATGGAGACAGCATGGGGAAGAAGTAGAAAGTTGCAGACAGACATACTTCATGAAACAGAAAGCGGCCGCACCGGTCACGAACAACACACGCTCTAATCATAGCAAGGCTCCTAGACTTTGCCGCACACAAGCCCTGAAACATTTGTGCAAACCCCTGTTCAAAAAAAAAACCTATACAGAAACAGTACTAATACCCTAAGCAGTTAAGCCCTATACATGAATATCCGAATATCCTAACACCTAAACCCGATGTTTGTTTACCTTTTCCTGGTTTACCCCACATATGAATACCCTACTGCACATCCAGTAGCCTTCTCCAAGGGAGCGCGGCTGTCGGCGCAGCCGATGATTGCGGTGTGGGGAGCCTGCCGTTGATGCGGGATCTTAAGATTTCAGGTTCAGGGTTCAGTAACGGGGTTTGGGCTATTCATATTGAGGGTTTTTGGTTTCGGGCGTAGTTCATTGAGGGTTTAGGCATTGAGGTTTAGGAGTCTAGCATTGAGGGCTTTCGGCTCTTGAGCTAAGGTATGAAGTTTTAAGGTTTAGGATTCTGAGCTTTTTGCACTACTAGTATGAGCTTGCAAGCATCATTTCATACGGTTTAGGGTTCATCGTCTAAGGTCATGGGTTCAGGCTTCTGAGCTGGCAAGAGTCACGCGATCGAACAGGTCAGCCGGAGCTGACCAAATAAATGTCGGTTTAGGATTTAGGATTGAGGGCTTAGCCCTAAAATGAAAAGATACACAGGCCTGAAGAATGCGAAT